CAATCCATTTTCACTATTCATGCGTTTCATACAAATTCCATTGTGTTCTAACTCTTCCTTTCTTGATCTTCCCGCGCATCTTCTACTGCCAGACATTACGTTGACGCTCACGTCATATACTACTTATAAGTAGCTCACAGCACACACGTCCCCCCTTTTAATAAGCTGTCATCGTAGTCTTTCAAAACAGGGATCCTGGTCAGTTAATATCACCTTCCGTATTCGGTGACGCGCTACAATATTCCGGATTACTACTTCGGTCATTGATCTTGCCCGCTGGTCTGGAATGGGTACGGCATCTATCCAACGTGTAGTGTTTACTAGGTCCCTCTGCTGGGACACGGCGGCAGGCACACTCTCGATAAATTGCGACGCCAACAAATGTGCCCCCGACTCCCCATCCATACTCGGCAGCGTACGGCGCAGCAGCATCGTGAGCTCCACAGCCAGCGCCAACGGGTCACCATCAGCCGACAGCCTCGCCAACCGGAACCTCTGCGGCGCCTCCTCCCTATCCACCGAGCTGACGGACTCCGTCATCAGCCGCCCGGTGACTGTCTCCCATGCCGTCTTTCCGGCGGCACCGTCCAGGCTGTCGTGTACCGCCTTTGCCCCACCCCCTCGCAGCGTCTTCAGCACCGCCAACTCGGTTGCACACCTGTGTTCTCCTTCACTACAGTAGTAGTAGTAGTAGTAGTAGTAGTAGTAGTAGTAGTCGGGAATAAACAACCTCAATTAACTAGAATGAAATAGATAGCAATCACTAATAATATATATCACTGAAAACTCTACCATGAATAGCTAAGTGAGGAAATCCTCGGAGTTCTAGTAAGAAGACATAACCAGTGGAGTCCAACCCTATCGGTTGTAGGCCGTAACTACCAAAGACAAACGAGTGAGGTAGTGCAAAATCCTTAGATTGATCAGAGTGAGAGATTAACACCTCTAGATGCTAGCTCAGTGGTCCAGAGGTTACTTGTTCACGCGGAAGAACAAAGGTCCTGCGTTCGAATCCAGCGAGTAGCAGGATGCGCAGTGCCACTGATGAGTCCCACACGAGGACGAAATAAACGTCTTCCAGTGCTTGCAAGTTTCTAATCAAGTGGTCTAACAATAACTGATTGATGATTTCAATGTGTAGAAACACTCATCTCTATAACACTACTGAAAGTATTCACAACAACATTCTAAGCCAACACGGAAACATTACTCCGTAAACAAATGCCTCTTTCTCAACCGTATCGTTGTTCAAGTCAAAATAATACAAAAAGCAAAAAATACAATATCTCCATCGTGCAATTTCATTGAACATTACTTTAATCGAAGATTGCCATTGGTTTCTTGCAATTCGTTAACAAATTGTCCAGTCAAATTTTTAATAGCACCTCGATTTGACGGTACATCAAGCCATTTTCCATGTGGTATCTTTAAAAAAAGGACAAAATCGAGAATTTGTTTGACTTATGTTATTCAATAGGGGGTTGTTTCTTATTGAAAATATATGAAAATCATGAATTCTAACTTGGATTTTATATATATCTATATATATCATGAGTTAGTCAGTCAGTCAGTTACAACGTAGAACTTCGTACGTACGTACGTACATACATTAGTTCAGGTCCCCATACCACATCAGCACAGAGACGCAACTGTCAGTTCAAAGCCAAGAGTGATAGCGATAATAGAAGTATTAGCAGTAATGGAGAAGATTAGGGAGTGTAGATATCATTCGAAAAGTATAATTCAGTGAAATAGATTTAAAACGAGAGAGATAAAAATATGATGAGGAACTCCGAAGGTTAAGATTTGAGAGAACACAAAGAATGGATGCACCTACGCCATTGCAAACGATTTCGAGCCATATAATTCAACGTCTATAACTACCGGTTACTATCGTCTTGCGGACTCCAACCAGGTAGGTAGTCTACACTTACCAACATGACTACGTTCAATTGTCAATGACTTCATCAATTTGTGCCATGTTTTGGTTTGGCCACACATAGCTTTCTTCCAATCTACTCCCCTACACCACAGAACATCACTTGTTCAGGTAGTCAGTCCCAACCAACAATCTCAAATGACGAAGTTTCAAAACATCATCTATTGATCTGCCATCCTTACCACCTACTACTTGTTCCCTAACTATCGCACTACTTACTCGGTTGTCTATATATATATCACAAAAATGTATTAATGTCAATATCTCTCGATTATCTTGATTTTTGTTTGGGTGATCAAATTTCAGACTGCCAACTCTGTGGTGTATTACAAACAATTCATTTTTTTTAAAAAAAAAGGGCGGAAATTTACATTATTCAATTCATAATTTCAACGAATATATGTCAGTCATATAAAGTCTCTCACTATCTAGCAACTGTTTTAAATTTCAAGAAATGGGTTTTCTCGAAATCACGCAAATTTATCAACATTTAGGAAGATTGTCATTGAAATGGCTATCAAAACAGTTCAACAGCTAAGCAATCACATATATTTTTCATCAAGAAAACGAATGCCTAATAGATAAATTTGTTCGCCCTACTACTAACTGGTCGGTCGTGCCGACTCAGTAAAACAATAAGAATCAACACCCAAGGCTTGTAACTATTGAGAAACAAATGTTTTGGGGCAGAGTTTTGGAGGTTTGCGTTTTTACACATTTGAAATCATCAATCATTAAAATTAAACAATCATTGTTAGACCACCATTAGAAACCTGGAAGCACTGGACGGCCGTTTCGTCCTGGTATGGGACTCATCAGCAGTGCGCATTCACGATTCCTGCTCCTAGCAGGACTCGAACCCGGGACCTTCGGTATTGTGCGTGAACGCCCTACCATCGCACCACTGGGCCGGCATCTGACGGCGTTAATGTCTAACCCTGATTGACCTAGGGATCTTGCGCGACCTCACCCATTTGTCTTTGGTAGTTACTGCCCACACCCGACAGGGTTGAACTCCATCGGTCACGTCTTCTCAACTAGAACTCCGAGAATTTTCTCACGAAGCTAGTCACTAGTGAGCAAATGTTTACTTTGTACCAATCAATCATAAAAAAAGTGCAACAATGATGAACACATTTTCAACCTCTTCTCATTTCTCATCATCCAACTAGACATTTTTTTTGGGCGTCGACTGCATTAACTCCTCATCAAACTCAGCAATCAATCACACGACTAATTATGTACAAGATTCAGTTTCAATGATGTAATACACTCACTCACTCACACACACACACACACAATGCAATAAAATTCTGTACATTTGACAAGTAATCATTAGCTTTAATGACAACTAATCAACTTTCATATTTATTCTGTTGGTTTTTTTGAGTAGAAATCAACTTCAGTCCAGTAATGATCGATTGTCCTATGTGTAATTGATAATGTTGAATAAAATGTTTTGAATATAATTCGAAGACATTTTTGACCATATAAACTAACTTCAAGTAGGCAATCATTTAAATCAAGGTCATACATAGCTTTTGATTAGAGAGTTTTGAAGAAAACCCTCTTGATGTTAGCTGCTTGAAAAAAACTTCTGTCTTCAATTTTCTATCGTGGCTGCGAGTAACACTTCAAGGGAGTACCGATAAGAGTTAGAAGCAACTGCCGAAAATCATTTATTGTTATTTAATAACCGTAATCATCTCTCACTGATGCTAAGTTCCGGTAAAACTAACTCACAATTCAAAGACAAAGACAGACAGACAGACAGATACAATGTAGAACTTCGTACGTAAGTACATCAGTTCAGGTTGATATACCACATCAGCACAGAGACACAACTGTCATTTCAAATCCAAGAGTGATAGTGATAGTAGAAGTATTAGCAGTAATGGAGAAGATTAGGGAGTGAAGATATGATTCGAAAAGTATAATTCAGTAAGATAAATTTAGAAGGAGAAAGATAGAGATTATGAGGAATTCAGAAGGTTAGAGTTTGAGAAAACACAATGAGTGGACGCTCCTGCACAACTTCAAACGATTCTGAGCCATGTCGTTCATCCATTGTTGACTTTCGTCTCGCGGATCCCAACCAGGTAGCCTACATCTACCAACATGACTCAGTCCACTTGTCAGTGACTTTGTGGTTTTGGCCCACGAGTAACTTTCTTCTAACCTACTCCTACACCACAAAACATAGCTAGCTCGTCGTGGCAGTCGTTGGTTAGGCATACGTAACACATGTCCAAACCACCTCAACTGATGAAGTTTCACTACTTCATCTATTGATTTGCCATCCCTATCTGGAACTCGTTTCCTAACGATAGCATTGCTTATACGGTTGTCCCAGGATACAGGAGTAATGCTTCGGAGACAACGATGATCGAAGGCTAGTAACCTACGAAAGTCCTTTACCCTTAACGGCCATCTTTCGCATCCGTATAGTAGGGCGGAGCGAACTACACTCGTCCTTTGGTTAGCAAACGGATTTCTCGCCTGTGCCATAGTTAACGCAGGTTGGCAAAAGCCAATCGAGCCTTCTGTATCCGTGCTGAGATTTCGTCAGTCACCAGGCCATCAGCACTGATGAGACTTTCCAGATACGTGAAGCGGTCTACGTTAGACTACTTCACTCACCTTATCACTAGTTCACAATTCAAAGATATATTAATTAGCTCTCAAATGGTAAGGGTAATTTTACACTGGTTTTCAAGAGAACCAAGGAGACTGCCAACGTCTTAACACTACAACATGAATAGTACACCTCAATTCTACGAAGCGACAACACCATGTTACTTAACACCCTGGTGGATCATGGACACCACTTTTATATATATATATATATATATACATACATATATATATATATATATATATATATATATATATACAAGTACATATATATGGTGACTATTTCTGATTGATGATCGTATCAATCAATATACACAGCATTAACAGGCCAATTTTCGACCCATCCCGCTTACATTACAAAGTGATTATTATTAACAATGGTCGATATGCAATACAGCACCCTTCGGGAATGTTAAAGACAACCATCAGTATCAATGAAATCCGCCACCCTTAACAAACAAATCTGTATATGGACTGTTAGCAATACCTGCCAAAGTAATGCCAAGCCAACTACAATTTTCACAACGAACCTCTGGTCTCATAGGAAACCTTCATCTCCAGTGCTAATCATGTCTCAAGCTAGCATAGAATAACTGTTCAGTGCTTCTTGGTTCTTAATCGATGATTGTCTAACTAATATCACTCGATAATGCAAACTCTATGAAATCCCTTTTCATGCAACAACTAATTCGTACCGTATCAGTTTATTCAGCTTCATTTATGACCATCACCGCATTTACAAACAATTATTCTCCTTATTATGGTTAAGATACAGTGAATATTTCAATTTCAATTGTAATTGTAAACATAAGAATAATTTTTGAAACCATGAATCGATCAATATTAGACCATCACCATTAGAAACCTGGAAGCACTGGACGGCCATTTCGTCCTGGTATGGGACTGCTCAGCAGTGCGCGTTTGCCTACAATACCGAGAGTCCTGGGTTCGAATCCTGCGGGGTGCAGGAGTCGTGGATGCGCACTGCCACTGATGAGTCCCACACCAGGACGAAATGGCCGTCCAGTGCTTCCAAGTTTCTAATGGTGATGGTCTAACATTGATCGATTCATGGTTTCAAAAAAAATGTGTAACTTAACAATCTTCACAACCCCCTTAATGCATAAGAATCATTGTCAATAAGTAGAAATCAACACATTTTATTGAATTTTGAATGATCAGGGAATAAGTGTTCGGTTTTTTGGCTCAATTGATCAATGTTTTTTTTCTAAATAATGCTCAGTAATGTATATTGCTTGAAACAAAACAGTTTATCAATCAAATCGTTCATGTTTAATCGAATTTTTATTTGCAAGTACTATTCACAACATGAGGATTAGTATTTTTAAATTATTTACTTCACATTAAATCATTTGTGCAATTGATTAGTTTTCAGTGGATTGATTCTTTTTTTTTGCTAATCTTTGCATAATTCACAGTAAAAAATATTCACAGCATCATTCATCATCATATAATACAAATGTAAATGTATTATACATTGGTCTCTTTTGCCTTTGTCATTGCGTAATCGTTTATTCACTAATACAACACTGTTCTTAATCACATATTTATCAATTTTTGAGATGTTGCAACTAATCGTATTTACTATCTGAAGTGGTGGTTTTATTCAAGATTTTGGTTTGCACTTATTCATAAATTACACAAAATTACTATGCTTACTACTACTTGTGACTTACTACTAATAGTTGTAAGTTGTTGAGCTGACTTAATCGGAATTAGAAAGAAGCATTTTCGATCACCAGTATGGGATTGTTACTTTACTTACTTACTAACTTACGCCTGTTACCCAGCCAACTCTCTCCCGGACATCCCTTTTAAATTCTGTCCAATTTTCGTTCATTCTTCTCAAATCTTTCAGTATTTCCCGGTATAATGTGTTCCTTGGCCTTCCTCTTTTCCTTTTGCCATGTGGGTTCCGAGTGAGGGCCTGTCTTGTGACGCAGTCAGATGCTTTTCGCAGTGTGTTTCCTATCCACTTCCACCCCTTCTCCCTGATTTCCGCCTCCAGTGCAATCTGGTTTGTTCTCTCCCAAAGTAAGTTGTTGCTGATAGTGTCTGGTCAACGAATACGAAGTATTTTGCGAAGACAAATGTTCATAAATACTTGTATCTTCTGGATGATGGCTTTGGTACTTCTCAAAGTTTCCACTCCATACAGTAGAACTGTCTTCACATTTGTATTGAAAATTCTGATTTTGGTGTTGATTGATATTTGTTTGGAGTTCCAGATATTTTCTGATTGTAGAAATGCAACCCTTGTTTTGCCGATCCGCGCCCTCACATCTGCATCGGATCCACCATGATTGTCGATGATGCTGCCAAGATATGTAAAGGTGTTAACGTCCTCCAAGGCATCTCCATCATTAGTGATTTGGTTGGTGCATGTCGTGTTGTATCGTAGAATCTTGCTTCTCCCTTTATGTATGTTGAGACCTACTACTGTTTAGGCTGCTGCTACACAGGTATTGTTACTTTAATCATACCTATATGTATATCAGGTTGACTGTGAGTGAGTCTGTAAATCACTTTGTTATCGACTCATTGATTTTTAAAGATCGTATCAGTTTGTAACTAACGTACTAATGTAATCGAATAAAGGTATCATAATACTTATATATATATTATTCAGTAGATACCTGACCTATTACATCTTGAGTAGAATCAGTTCACGTTACTTTCTGTCAACTAAATAAACAATATATCCTCCATTAACAATGATAAATAAGAAATTATTACATTATATAAATTCTTACTCAACAGGCAAGAGTAACCGTACATTGGTTTTCACGAGAACCAGACACTGCTCAAGTGTTAACACTAAAACGTGAACAGTACAGATTAATCCTGTGGCATAACCACACAGAGGTAGCTGACACCCTACTGAACCATTCACACCATTTATATACATCAATACTTACAGTGATTATTTCCAATTCACGATTGCGTCAATCAATATGCATAACGTGAACAGGCCATTTCGACCTATCCCGCTTACATGACTGTCAAACTCATTATTATCATTCGCAATGGTGATATGCAATAGACAACAATACAACAATGTTCATCACAACGAACCTCTAGTCTTATAGGAAACCTTCAGCTCTATATAGCAGTATAGCTGTGGTGCGAGCTACTTATAAGTAGTATATGACGTGAGTGTCAACGTAATGTCTGGCAACAGAAGATGGGGAAAGATCAAGAAAGGAAGAGTTAGAAAACAATGGAATTCGTATGAAACGCATGAATAGTGACAATGGATTGATGTTGTTGGCAACAGGAACAGTCCAGTTCGATATGATGAACTGATATTTTGCAAATGAACGATTTACGATATGGTTTTTTCGATTTTACTGAGTAACTCTGTAATTTTCGATAAACACAATCCGGTTGCCCTACCTGTGTTCTCCTTCACTACATAGCAAAATATGGTATATACAATATATGCCAGAGGGTGATACCAAGAGATGCAATCCAGCTTGGTGCAACTAGGCTCAAACACACTGTTATAAATTTTGATAGAACAGTGAGAAGACGTAATTGATCTGAAAAATGTGATGTATTTGCGCTATACATTTCGAACAATCTGGTCACACATATTTACTTGTCAAGGCATTTTATATAAAGATTAATAAAAGGTCAATTAAATAAAAGTTCAAATAGACTGTAAGGTGATAATTGTAAATAAAGGAGAGAGAAAATTATAAACTTTTGTCTTATGTCGTGCAATGTGATTTACTCACAATACCGGAGAAACATTTCATTTATCGATCATATGTGACCTGAGTTAGTTAGATTAAGCATCCCCAAAATAACCTCAACAAATGAGTAAGTATACTTACGGTTCAGCTAAACTAAAAAAACAGAAGGAGAAAGAGACAGCACAGAGAAAAAAAAAATAATCAATATCACAACACAAATTGAAACCTAGCCATATACCTACCTCTCTATAAACAAATCGATCATGTTGTGAATGCTTATCACCACGAAAACACATGGAACATAAGAACGGATTGATATTTTCCTCTTGTCCTAGCTGATGACAAATTTCACAACGATAAATATTACCAAATATTGGCGAGCATAAACATGATAAGCATCGAGTGTTGGAATGTTTTGTTTGACTTGTTTCAACATTCAATTTCTTCTGTGTATCATTATTTGCTTGACCAATAATAGCAATCCTATTGATAGGATGTCTTAATTTAGCAGATTTTGTCATGTCTACCACTTTCATAGTTTCTGCATATTCACGAATCAGTACATGTAATGGTGCAAAGTCTTCACGACAAATAGGACATTTCACAAAATTACTGTAACCTAACAGACAAAAAGTAAATGTGTGCAAAGATAAGTATTACTTCAGTTGAATTTTTTTTAAAACGTTAACAACATTTAACTATTATGTTAGTCAAAACACTGGTTCCTTTTGATAAATTTGAACAGAGAAGTGAGAAGACATAGTTTGTGAGATAGTAGTACCATTTCGTGCTTTCTCGTCAGTCACATACATACAAGCAACATGTTATTTGTGTAAATACAGCAGTTTTGAAGATAAGGTCAAACGTTTATTGGTCATCTGAACACAACTACGACGAAACTGATAGCAACTGATGTGCCCAAGAAACCAGTGTATCTACAGTTACCTTTCAATGGTGATCATTGCATGAAAATTACAACCAAACAGACTGCAGCTGCAATAAAAAAGACCTTCAATGCAGCTAATCTGAGGCTTATCACAACAACTCAATCGATCTCAGTTACACCAATCAAGTCTCCAAGACTGATTCAGTCCAAATCCCACTGTATTTACTAATTCACATGTAACTGTGGAGAAAGTTACTTGGGTAGGACAGATCGCCGATCGGAGGACAGGATAGGTGAACATATGCCAAAATGGTTAATCAAATCCATGGTTCATCAACATAGCCGGTCATCTCAAAATCGATCAAGAAACCCAGCCTCGTCCATTGCAAAACATCTAACAATGAGTGGTCAGCAAACTGACCCAAAATCAGCCTTTAGAGTTGTGTGACGTGTCATCAAAACCTACACACACACTGAAACTACTCGAAACTATCTCGATTGGTCGGAAAAGTCCAACTTTATGTGTTCAAAAACAACTGTATGTTGACCTTTGTTTACCATGGTTCTAGTGAGTGAATGTCATGCTAAATAAGAAATTTTGACCTTATCTTCAAAACTACTGTGTTTAAACAAATAACATGTTGCTTATATGTATGTGACTGACGAGAAAGCACGAAATGGTACTACTATCTCACAAAATATGTCTTCTTATTTCTCTATTCAAATTTATCAAAGGGAACCACTGTTTTGAATAATAATAATAATAATGATTGATACATACATTTCGGTTTTGAATGATTATTTAAACAGGATCAGTCATTATCTACAAAATAAATTGCTCAGAGTATGAAAAACACTACATAGGACAAAGTGGATGGCCTTTTCAACTCCGTCTACGTGAACATCAATTAGCAGTCAAATGTCATAACAGCACTTCCTTGATATCAATAGATACGGACAAGTATGGACATACGTTCGATTGGGACAATGTTGAAATACTGGATAGGGGGAGGACAAAGAAAACTAGAGAATTTTTAGAAGCTTAGCACTCAGGTCACTCAGCAATCAACAAACATATCGATACTGACCCAATTTACCAAACAGTCAGAAAAATCATAGGTGACATAAGATCAAGAAACAGATCGAAAAGGGGGATACAATCAAAACAAAGGTGAAAACAACGACAGACATAAGGTCAACAGCAACCAACCATGATCCAGGTCAACAGGACAAGCTACAGGTCAAATGTAGAGCAATTCGATTACTTTGAAGTTTGTGCTGATGATGTTGTTCAGCAGAAGAGCAACGAATGCTCCACAACCAAAACATCCAGCTCAAAGAATGAAACACCACCACAATCATCCACGTGAGCTGCAAATTTTCGCCACCATCTCAGGATCAGTCAAAGACGTGACCTATAAACTTGAACAACCTCCCCACAGATAGTGTTTTGTTGCAATTATATGTACCGAAATTCAGAAAAAAATTTAATTACTCTAACACTTTTTCAACAAACACGGAATTCGGAATCATGATACAAGATGGGGATTTTTCAAATTTCCTTAACTGCTGGTTGATAATTCTAAGCAGTGATTACTTTCAGTCATTTAATATCCGAAACAAGATCATCTCTGTTAGACTACCATTGAACACCTGCAAGCACTGGACGGTCGTTTCATTTTAATATGAGACTCTTTAGCAGTGCGCATTCGTGATATCCCCAAGCGGAAATCGAACCAATGACCTTTGCGCGCGCAGGCTTAATTTCTAGACCACTGAGCCGGCCAACATCCAACTTTTGATCAGTCTAAGGTTTTGCACAAGCTCACTCATTTATCTTCAGTAGTTACACCCTACAGGGTTGAATTACACTGGTCAAGGCTTCTCACTGGAACTTCGAGAATTTCCTCATAAAGCTAGTCAGTAATGATTACATTTTAGAATGAAACAGCCGTCCAAGTGCTTCAACATTTCTATTGGTGGTCTAACAATGATTGGTTCATGATTTAAAAGTACAAAAGCTATTTAACTTTGAAGAAATTTATGACTTCCGTTGAATTTTCATAACTGTTTAAGTTGAACTGAACAATCATTGAAAATTAAAAGATAGAAATTTATTGCTGTGAACAAAAGCGCTGTTCTCTCTCTTATTGACCAAATTTAAGATGTAATTACCAGTGTTTGAATAAGGAGCTACAGCTTTTATATACAAATATATATGTATATATATGTACTATGGCTGTGTAAATTTACTCTACAAATAGTGTGTTTCTGGTAAATAATAGTGGATAGAAAGTACCGCTTTATGACAACACTTAGCCGCAGAAGCTTTGAAAAACAAACTACAGAATTTCCTTTGATATAACATTAATAGTCATTGAACTCTACCTATCTGTCATTTCATGAGACGAGTGATATTATTTTGCAGCCATGTGAAATCTTAAATCGATCTATTATCGACTTGAAATATTTACATCTGACAAAACTCTATGCCATCTAACAGAGGGGAGGGAGTTTGCGTACGCATATCTTTCGAGTTGTTCGTCAAGAGCTTTCATAGGAAATAGGTACCTCATATATGAGTTTGAATTAGAGATTTCTTAGTTTAAGAGTGTTGAAAAAATATTTTCTTTGTGTAGTAATCTTTGGTATGGAGCTACAGATTACAACTTTAATACAAGACAAAAATCATACATTTTCAATGAAACATAAAGAGGTCGATTAGTTGAAAAATATCACACCACAAACTAAAACAAACAGTACAAATGAATGATAATCGTGAAACTAAACGTTGATGAAGAAGTCTTGTTATTCTAAATGCAAATCTCGTTAACATATTACCTCTAAAAATGCTCAAATTACTCATACAAATCACCCATTTTTTCCTACCGTTTCAACAAACCTTTCAAGGCCGGGATAGAAAAGGAAAGTTTAGTATGCGCTTTGCTTAATCTTGTATTAGTTAGAATTGAAGAATAAAAATTCCTAAGTGGCCACTGACTTCAACTAGACTATATACGAAGCCTCATTAGTAAAAAATGCATACGTTACTCGCCACATATAAACCTCCAATAGATGAATCCCTTTTTTACGAACTGTACTTTTATGAACTAGTACGCTCGAAATCTTTGCGTGCCTTGTTCTTTTCCGGCTAATAAGTTGCTACATATTTAGACTTTGATTAAACACTACCGAATGTCATACAAAACGATATCTTGGATAAAGTTACCCCCAAATGCAGCATAGGCCGATCACCGGTTTTCTCCAACCAACTCTGTCCTACGATTCTCTTCCCAGTTCTTTCCAGTTTTCACTCATTCTTCTCGTGTCCTTCTCTATTTCTTGGCGTAATGTGTTCCATGGCCTTCCTCTTTTCCTTTCACCTTGAAGGTTCCAAGTGAGGGCTTGTGTTGTGATACAGATGGGTGCTTATCGCAGTGTGTTTCCTATCCACTTCCACTGTTTCTTCTTGATTTCCTCTTCTGCTGGAATCTGGTTTGTTCTGGCCCACAGTAGCTTGTTGCTGATAGTGTCTGGCCAACGAATGTGAAGTATTTCACGTAGACAACTGTTCATGAATACTTGCATCTCCTGGATGATGCATTTAATAGTCTTCGAAGTTTCCACTCCATACAGTAGAACTGTCTTGATATTTGTATTGAAAATCCTGATTTTGGTGTTGATTGATATTTGTTTGGATATTTTTCAATTGTAGAAATGCATCCGTTCCTTTGCCAATCCGCACCCTCACATCTGCATCGGATCCACCTTTCTCGTCGATGATGCTGCCCAGATATGTAAAGGTGTTAACGTCCTGCAAGGCATCTCCTTCAAGAGTGATTTGGTTGGTGCATGTTGTGTTGCATCGGAGAATTTTGCTTTTTCCTTTATGTATGTTGAGACCTGCTGCTGCTACACTGATCGTCTTCTCTTGCATTTGTTATTGCGTGTGCGATAGAAGAGCCAGGTCATCTGCGAAGTCCAGATCGTCCAGCTGCGTCCTAGCTGACCATTGGATGCCGTGCTTCCCTCCAGATGTTGACGTCTTCATAATCCAGTCGATCACCAGGAGAAAGAGAAAGGGTGAGAGTAAGCAACCTTGCCTGACACTGGTTTTCACCTCGAACAAGTCTGTCAACTGACCTCCTTGCACGATTTTGCAGTTTAATTCATCGTAAGAATTCAGTATGATGTCGACCATCTTCTCAGGCACGCCGTAGTGTCGACGAAGCCTCTATAATGTTTTCATGTCCACGCTATCGAGCGCTTTCTCGTAGTCAATGAAGTTATTATTACCACACCTAAACTTAGACACCTACACTTAAACTTAAAAATTAACAGCGATTAATAAACACTGGTAATTAGTTTCTAACGAAACCAAAGAATCCGAATGATCATTACTGAACAAAACAGATTTGAAATTTCATTCTAAGTGATTTTTTAGGCGACAATTTCAAAAATTTCACCTACCTAAATTGTTTTGCCTTCTTTGATGATCTGTCCAAACTTTCATACATCGTATATGTACACTGTTTCCACAATTTTTACGACAAAATGTTACTGGTTGTCGTATATGCGAAAAAAGATCCTCTTGACATATTGGGCAAACATCGTTCTCTGCAATTTTCCGTTGTACATTACATGAAAGCTAATTAAGTTGAAAATAAATAATGTCAATAATACCTTTTCATCAAATTTATTATCCCCATCTAGAACCTTATTATTAGATTCGGTCACATTTGTGACTTGATTCACTTCTGAGTATTGTCCATTTAAAAGAGCTGCTATTTCACGTTCAACTAATCCACGTTGCCATGACACTGAACAAAAGTCAGTAACACTTATTTTTTTCATATACCAGGATTATTAGGATCTACTTTGAACCGTTTGATTAAAATCCAGCATAAATGAATACATAGTTCATGATTTTTCGTATAGTCACTACATGAACAAGTATGTACATCACCTAGGTGTACCTAGTTCAATGAATTTTTAAAATATTTTTAAACTTACTCTGTATTTTCTCTTTGAATCATCTTGTAACAAATAGTAAGTTGGTCCGTACTGTTTTAAAATGTACAACGTAGCGTTTTGTGCTTCTTCTTGATTTCTTCTAACAATATCTGGACGTTTAATTTGGTATTTTATACAGTTTATCATGTGTTTGACTTAATTTCGCTTTGTATCGTGATTCAATTTTCAAAGGCTAAGAATATTTTTACCGCTATAATTATCGATTTATCATTGTTAACCGATAAGAATCACGCCAGAAATCTTCTAAAAAAATTTTAAACTCTGTAAAAAAAAATGTTATAACCTATATGGACTATTCAAAAAATTATTCAGAATATGAAATATTTTGTCATATGAACAAAACTAAAGGTTTTGTGAATAAAACTTCTGAATAATGTCTTCAGGCTGAGTTTTATCATAACTGACACTAGTCTAGACTTGCACTTCGAATAACTTACGTTACTTGATCTATTTATCGAATAAAGTTTTCTATTTTGACCCTTGACTTCGTAGCAAGTCAGTCAACTTGGTTTGATCATCACCTAGATTGATCAGCCAGTCATAACAAGTATCTCAAATCTAAACAAGTAACATTGGCTTAATAGAAAAGTATTTGAATATGACACTGAGTGGTTCGAATTTGGACCCAACAAGAATTACTTATATCGCAATATTTCAAGAAAATATTGCTGATGAGCTACGGACACCACAAAACATAAATCGAGAGTTTCCCTTCTACTACCCTGAATCATTTTCTTTGGATTAGTCATTAACATAAAGTCTTTGTGTGATTCGTTTATTTACTTCATGCGTACGATTTTTTAAAATAGTTTGGCGGTTGATGAATTATTTTTTTAAACCAAAACAAGCTGCAGTTAAAGTACTCTGATCCTTAGATGACATTTATCAAGGATGAAGTCATATATATATCAGTCAAATCGTGCATACAAAGCAAGCTCCTAACCGAGAAAACGGTAACGAAATCCTGCCTTCTCATTCGAGCAAACTAAACCAAACAAACAGCAGAAAAACCACATCTGGAACTCAAAGCTGTGATTTAGTAGTAATGAATGGAGGTTCACTTCATTTTCCCTTTGAAAGCCATTCTAAGGTTGAAAACTTATTTAAATCTTAGAGGTTTTACAATTTTTATTAGTAATGACAACAGCTATAAATTTCTTATTTTTTTAGCACACCATGTTTAAGTATTAGAAAAGACTATACTAATTGATGACAGGAAATACTTCGTTTGGTTATTTTCAAAGTCTAGAACTAAAACTTTAGTGTGAAGCAGTCTTATCATTGTTATAGAGTGGGCGCTTACTGATTTCCGTCGGGTGTTGTTTCGGTAGTCGATATTTTATAAGCTAAAGACATCAGAAACAAGGTATGTCTGAACAATTTTGATGAAGACTATGAAGTTAATCAAGATTGGTATTTCTCAGATCCAATTTCGGAATAAGATCGGAGGGCAATTATAGTAGGTCTTGAACTGCATAATGCTTTTAACCTAGTTTTTACTTCAATGAAATTAATAAAGACTTTTAAGAAATTTGGAGAAAATTACAGGATTTTTCGGAGTCTATCTTAGTATCTTCAACCACAAGATGAGCGAAAAAGGAAAAACGGAGCAAAACGTGATTGACTGGCACATAATTACCGAAGGTTTATAACATATTTTTTGCTGAACTCCTGTTGAAAATAGAGTGGTTAGTAAATTTCATCTAACTACATATAGTATAAATACTAAAGGGAAAACAATCACGATGTAGATATTATCAATTCTTATTAAAATTGAAAAAAAGCATTTCCAATAACAAAACGAGAAAACATCCATCAACTATAAGCAGCCTTAAGTCTTTACTTTCTGCATTACATAGTGACAGGTTTGCAAACTGCCCCAGGATAGGTGCTATGACATTAGGCTGCAGATAGCTACGGTGGTTACGGATCAGCATGCAGAAAGTGTGATCAGAATGGAAAAAACCAGGCCATGTAACGAGATATTAGTGTCTGGAAAAAACTATGAATAAGGCCAATCGAGTGGGTGGTAGGTATAACCTTTATTAGCTTTAGATTTTACAAAGAATGACATGAAAGTTTTACAGTTTTGTTCCACTTAGAATGTCAGATATCTTATAAAAATGACTACTTTTCAGTCAACAGTCAACTTTTATATCCGAAAAAATTCACCGTATCAAATTTTAACGAGACGATTTTACAAACATCCAGACGTATTATCATTTCTGACCAAGATTGACTGATTGATCATAAGAAGTTAAGTTACTCAACGACCCAAATGAGTCGATGGCTCAGTAATCACGTAAAACAGATTCAAAGCTGTAAGGTAATTAAAAAAATTTATTAATGTCATGAGTGCGAAAATGAAAGACAGTGACAGTTGTAAAGTGCAAAACAGTCAAATGAATTGAAGTGTTGGTATAGTATTCTTCATATAACTAGTGTTCAGCCAACTGTAATGATCCTAATAATTAGCCACACAAAAATTTACAAACCAAAAGTGATTTCTATTCAGTTACCGGTGATAAGTATTAGAACCTAATATGTGGTATTTGACCTCTGTTCAACTGGTATTCTGAGTCGGTACCATAAGAGCACAAATACTAACAACGTATTGCTGCCTTCAATATTCAATATGTATTCAATATCCAATATTTTCCCATGAGTTAGTATAAACCAGTTGATTTCTTTGCACTTGATTCTCATTCCTTCCGTACGTTTCAAAGTATTCGGTTGTGTCCAATAGGTGGGGTTTTAGCCACTTTACTGTCTAATTCTAGTCAGTAGTCAGTTGGTTGTGAGTTTGTATGTCACGTGCTTTGAATGAAAACGTTTGGTTTCAGGGCAGTAGGGTTTCTGAATACCAGTAGCTATCAGATTACCAAACCGGAGGTCAGTTAGTTTCAGTGTTGAGAATAATAAAGAGAACATTTTAATGCTAATAAGAAGACGATTTCAGAACTAGGTAAATAAATAGATAATTTAGTTTATAAATTGGTAGTGAAGATTGCGAGAGATAACCAAAGAGTGAGCAAAGGAGAGGAAACACAGATAATAGGTGAGATAGATTAAGTTAGTCATCTGAGGAGATGGTAATCAGTAAGATGCTCACGTCGAGATGGTTTGGCGTGCTGAATATGTTGTACGCCACAAACAGATCACCTCCCATTCTTCTGTAGTTTAGGGGGCATTATCCCATGTTCTGAGGTCTATCTTCGTAAGGTTTGTTCTTCAATACTATGACCCATTTTTTTGCTCATCCCTGCACTCGATCAAACAGATGTACACTTCTTTCAAAGGGACTTGATGTGACGACGTTGTTTTAAACAATCTTGGGGTGATTGCACAAATTGAATAGTTGCGTTAGTCGTCGCTGCGTCCCCTATATAGGTGAAAATAGAGTGTAGGTCTTCAATGGTTATTAGATCGAGATTAAGATCTAAGGAGATATTAATCAGAAAACTATCACTGACAGTGTTATTCGTTTGTGTAACGTTGGGCAGAATGTACACCAGCCCTTCCAGTACCTTCAACAGGCTAGATACTCCCTATCTCCTCGTCGAATATTTGAGAGACAGTAGCTTGTTTTCATTCAGATAACAGTTATTGTGACTCCCATATCGTTGAAGTGAGGGCTCCCGAACACTGTTTCAAGACGAATATTGTCACAACCTGGTAACTTTTCTGGACTCAGGGATTTTGGTTTTCTGAGAACTAAGTCAGGAGTAAGTCGGATATTCCCTATGCCGTCAGATGCCACTAGGCTTGTGTAGTACTCTGAATATGTGGATGCCTGCTTCAACTGATAAGCTGGTGGTAAAGAACTCTGTCATCTCTAGGTTGGTATAATCTTCACCGTTTAAAATACAGAGTGCACAAACATGCCGTTTAGCAGGTTTTATTTTAGTCATAAACCAAAACAGATAATTTGGGTTTGCTTTGTCGTGTGTGTACTTTTTGTCAAACCTACTGGGCTTGTCCCAGACACCGGATAATTTATTCAGTCCATTCTTTTCGAGTCACTCACACATCTTCCGACCAACTATTCGCTGATATCTCGGTTGTGTGTGTGCCGCTTACTTTTCTCGTTACATGTCTAGCCTATCATGTCCGATTGTAAATACTTATTCATTCCTCGTTCCTTTATTTTTACTCGTTCGCCTTCTCTAACTCTTCACTTTGCTTTAATGCTTCGTATTCTCATGTCTGTCTACGTGAACGATTTCTTGAAACTGACAAACCGAATCCGTATTTCGTTTCTCATTACGGCCGTCCCACAAACGGTGTTCGTCGAAATATTAAATATAGGAACTGAAGGGGAGATTTATTTCACATCACAAATGAACATTCATTACTATTGAAGTCAGATAGCAAGACACTAAATGGTTAGCCCAACGTCCAATTCAACGCAGTTACAGCTTGTGTTTTAACATCCAACTTCGTCTGAAAGTGTTCGCTATCAATTTGAACCTTAGCGACGCATCTGTTTCCCGATGTCAAGTAACAAGAATGGTGGAAATCCTTCAGAAAGATCCCCCAATCGTGCCAGGCTCTCCTTTCCGACAGTAGCAAACGTTCACTGCCTTGGTTAACTCAACTTCTCTTTGCCAGTGTATGATATGCTTGAGATACATTGTTTAGGGCAGCATTCTGCATGATATTTCTTACTATTTTCCAATGATCATCCACTGTTAACCTCCATCGTTCCAGTAGCCACGGCGCACGTACTAGATGCCCTCTCATAAATGTGTAATTCGCCCTGGTTTAGCAAATGCAGGGCCCCTTTTCGTCCGGCCGGAGAATTTTTCGTCTGTGACCATGTTAAACATGACCATACCATGGTCAATACCTATTGATTTGTGTATACGAACATCATGTGGATTTTATATTCTGAGTCAATCAAGTGGCACTACATACATGATTAGTCAATCCGAAACTATCAACGGCTGCGTCTAGTCGCCTGTCGAACCGACATGTGGGAGTTTTGCCCTATTTGCTGAGATTAGTTGACCAAAACCAAGGGGTGGCGGTTGCAGTACTGCCTCAGTCAGTTTATCTCTCTGGGCCTTAGAATTTGAGAGGGACTAGTAATTCGCTCCAAACAAGTATTTTATTCCACGTGTATTGAAGCAACACTAGCATGATTTTGTGCCTTCGGTTAGTTGGGTACCGGATAGACTTTCGGCTTTGGCAGATATATATATATATATATATATATATATATATATATGTATATATATATTGTAGTTGGATTTTCTACCGTAGCAGTCCAATTCGATTCCAATAGACGTATGTTATACGCATCCTCCGTTATTCGAATATCAAAACACAATAATTTTAGGAGAAAGTGGTCTATTTATAGAATATAAATGGAAATACAAACGTTACCTAACGAATTTTACGTCTTCCAATTCAAAATTACTCTGAATGAGTATCCAGGTTCCGGAGACTAGGTGAACTCGTATACCGCAACGATATCAAATCCAAAAATGTGGCTGTAGCCACATTATATCAAATTTAAACAACATATGTACAGTTCAGAAGCAAACATAAAAACTTCAATATAAGTAAAAAATATAGAAATAATAACAATATACAATGATAAAATCTCGAATTGGAATCAAATAAAATACCAAAATGTCAACAGAAAGAGTCCGTCATGTCATGACAAAAATCTATAAACATGGAGGGATTTTCCAGAAAACAAAACATATATATATATATAATTATAGCGACAGCCTTATCGAATTTTGATTCTCCGGCGGCTGATACATCTATCGGGACTAGAAGGGTGCAATTTGGATCAAAATTTGGAACTCCTTCCCAGAATCGGAAACACTGTGTTACTACGGAAGAAGTAAACGAGTAATATTGTTTAGGTAATAGTTTGTACTTGCATTCACGATCAATAATAGAACCGTTACTTACCCAGTAAAATTGTTTTCTTTTGGGATTAATTGGGCAAGGTGCGTACCTAAACTTCCTGAACCTTTATTCCTAAAAGTAAAACTGTGTTTTACTTTGATATCTTGTACGGTGTACCAAATCGCATCGGAAGAGAATCATGCCTTGCAAGTTCACTTCACTGTCTTCAATATCAAGCGACAAGATTAGGATCTTCATATCCGTCCGCGAGCACATGTTCCTTATTTCTTACGGCCTAACACTTGGTCTTACTAAGATGCTACAGAGACTCTTGGTGGTTTGTCTCATCACCTGGTGCACCTATGTAGTAACAGCAGTTGTCGGAATTTTAAACAAGTTACTCAGACTGAGTGAGCCATTTCTGCAGAAATTAGCCTCTTCAGGTTTTTTGCCTGTGCAGTACATTAAATCAGAGAGAGACCATGTCCTTCGTGTCTTCTTCTGTGTGTCATTGATAGAGCTCGACTGTCATTAATGTGTATTTGTTTTGGCATGAATGTTGCTGTGTCACAGATCTAGATCTGCACTCGTAACATCGAATCTTTATAGGCAGGTCGTTCCCAATGTTGCACCGAGCATAAGGAGCCTCAGAAAGGACTAAACTTGACATAGACCCGCTTTTGGAGGTAAAATTATCGAAGTCTGCATTTTCAGGGGAGAACCTTCTACTTCCTGACTGAGAGTGTGCTGATGATACAGTTGAATTCGGCGAAGACGCTGAAAAAATGCATTATCCCGACTACCCTAACCAAAAATGCAAGCATGTTCATGATGCAGTTTCCCACTCAAAATGCAAAACGTAGCTTCAGGATTGAGTCGCATCGGCACCTGAACTAGTGACAGGAATGAAAGCAGTCGAGCGTGTTTACCACTTCATTTATCTCAGGAGTCTAATCAGTTCTGTTGTCCTGATGAGTCACAGATTCTCAGCACGTGTAGAAAATGCTCGACTGACTTTTGCTTACTTGCTTCACTAATGGTGTAGACGAGATATAAATTTGTCAACAATGGAACGAGTCTACTGAGCAGTTGTTCGCTCCGTCCTCCTCCTACTTTTTATTGATATTGTTGCGGAGAAGAATCCGGTCTATACTACTTGCTGGCATTCGTTTAGGAACGAAGTAAACTAAGAATATGTTCAGTTATTGGCATTACCAATACTCCAAAAATTGATCTGTCATTCTTACCTAGTACTCTTTTTCCAACCACAGCATTGCTTACTCGCGTGTCCCGGGATACACGAGCAGTTCTTCAAAGACATCTGTAACCGAATAGTGATAATAACTAACGAATATCTTAGACTCTTTCCAAGAAGGGAAACTGTCAAACAGTTATTGCAACAATATGTTCGTTATTTGAGAAAAAATTATTATTATTATTAAACCTATTGCTTTTAATACAGGTGCAGCTAATAAATCTGTAAAGACTCTTTTTTCCCTACAGGGAACCATTGAATTTGGCCAGCACTCGTGATATTTCGCGCATATCTAAAGAATTCCAAGGGCTACATCTATTAAAAACCTAGCAAGTTTTATATGAATTCACTGTTACGTCCAATTTTTGCTCCTTCCTCCTTTGAAGTACGGTGTGTCGATCTATTTGCAATTCACGAACCCAAATCGATAACAAAACGAAACTCCAAAGTAGGTACCAAAGTTTATTCTTAATTCACAAATAATCGACCAAAATGTCGTTCGTCAATTACAAATAGACGACCAATGTCGTTCTAACAACAATAATTATAATAATTACAATTACCTTCAATTTTGTAGGTTCCTGGAGCAAAAAACTGCAAACGAACAAACCAAGACAAACAGGAGTCCGAAATGGCCGAAAATAATAATTCAAACAAGTTCATAAGTTAAGTAAAACAAATATACCCAAAAAACAGTGAAATTAATGATATTTATATAAAGGTTTTAATCAGCCAAATGTCTTCATTTCTACCGTAACACTCACATCTATTTTATCAGGCATAAAAATCTGGTATGCCTCACTCAACACAATGTTATTAGAGAATAAATTATTATCGTTTGAAGTAGCAAGAGTTCAGTATAAAAGGTTGCACAGATTAGCTTTTTATTAACCCGCCCATTGTTCCATCCGTACGATGAACGAATATCTGATGATGCTGTTCTGCAATGCTTACTTCCTCTCCAACATTGTGCCACTCCAGATGTCAAACTAAACGGGGTGGATAGAGCTAGTGACTGGCGGTGAGGACGATGATTTCAACCTCCTATATGTGTGTTGTAGGATATTTTGTTATTCCATGCACCTGATGATCGGTACCAGGGAAACCATTTTGTAACCGGGGCGTTATCGGTCTGCGATACTATCAAGGTTCCAAAGAGCTGTTCGCATCTAGCTGCATAGCTCGGAGTATCGCCACTTCCTAGCAGTGAAGATGTGGAGCATTTTTGGACATCTACCACTCGTATCTTGTCCGTAGCATTGATGGTTGAAACGCTAAGTGAGCAGTATTCGCAGGAGGGTTTAGTGCAGATCTTGAAGAGGGTAAACCTAGCCTCCATTGTCAAGAAGTTCTTATTTGCAAGTCTTACTAGCCTTCTACAATTAAAGAAGCGTGTTATTCACATTTAAGGTTTCCTCTGTAGTGAATGCCTAGATCTTGATTAAATGGTAATTGCCGCGTTTTGCTACAGTTAGATTAGTCGTCAAGGTCACTTTGACTGTGAGCTGCATTTCCATTCAAATCTTAAGACTTAGAGCTGTATACTATTTCAAGATCATCGGCATGAATGCATGATATTCCGAATTCAAGAATTTACATATATCGTTTATGCACATGAAAAAAAATGTGGACCTATTTCACTTCCGTGGAAAACACCATTAGTAATTGGTCTTGGCGATGAAAAGGAGCCGGACTGTAGTATTTGTTGGGGTTTGTTTGGGAATGTGACAAACCATGATTATGGTGGGTTAGTGACTCTAAATGACTTAAGTTTGATGAGAAGCGCTTTGTGTGGGACAGCTTTCCTAAAAGCGAAGAAAACGACATACTAGTAACCTATTAGTTTCTTCCTTGATTTATGTCATTTAATTAGTCTGGCAGGCATAGATTGCATAACCCGTAGTTCAGAAATCCATGGTCGTAGGTCGAGACGAGATTGCCATCAAATAGAGTTGAAATGATCACAGACATCAAAACATTCTACATCACTCAACACACCAGTGAGATCGTGTTTACGGGCCGGTAGTTTCCAACATTTGCTGCGGTTTACGATATAATTTTAAGAGTGATGTATGTAGTTCCCAGAGTAGCATGCCTTGGAGAATGACAGGGCAAATAGTTTTAGAAACGTTAATGCCGTTAACATACTGAGTCCACGCACCAAGCTCTGAGCATTCAATAAACAACTCAAAACAGTATTTGCTTCTAGTGGATGTTTCAGCTTGTATTTTAGTTTACATATTACGACGGGACTTCACCGCCAGTCCCAGCTTGCTAGGAATAATTTTGTGTAATTTATTTCCGTTTTCAAGGTTATTAAGGCAGAGTATTCATTTTACTTGACAGTTTTTCTCCTTATATGATGTCACCTATGATTCTGACTGGCCTATTCCAAGTACCTTGTAAATGGTTCCTCATCTTGACTTCGTCTTTTTGACCGAAGATTATGAAAACTTTCGGCACAGTATCGCACATTCTCCTCTTTGTCGAGGATTCGAAAATAGGCCTCACTGCTCCGTTTCTACTTCTGCGCTATAACTAACTCGAAATTCCTGTTTCTTGCATCACATTGGTTAAAATGACGTGGGCCGTCGGATCTGAACATAAGGTGTTCCATAAGAAAATCTGTAATGTCATATCCACTTGCTGATCTTTAGTAGCAACCTTTGAAGTCAAATAAGCACAACAGCTTCATTCTTTTTATGTGCCGAAGGATCTGCAGGTCCGCACGAGATGATAAGTATTCAGTTTAGCTTCCGAAGGACCTTAAAATTATGGAGAAATCGGGAGTATGCAGTCACTTAGTATTTAATCAGTCTAAATGTCTTGTCTCAACATTCTGCTTCACAGGACAAAACTACTTATTTCCACCGCAGAAATTCGCAACGGATTATTGCCTTAGACCATTATCTTCGGCCAGCGATCATATTTAGCATATAAGTCCTCAAAAGGGATGAATTTAAAGGAAAATCGTATAAAACTAGGTGCAATCAGTAAAGAACTGTTCATAACTCTTCTTGTAAACGCACGCGCTGCTCTACTTCGAAGTTGATAATTTTGCCACCACTGTTTTTTGCAAAAGAGACATAAATCTCAACAGTAAATTGTTATGATGGACGATTAGGCTGAAGAATAAGTCACACGAAAATATACTCCGACTTTTGGGGCTGTTCTCGCTGAATTCTAGGATAACAATGAGATACTGTATATTATGTTCTCCAAGCAATCTTCGCCCAGGGCATCCACATGACGTCCGTCAAAGTAACCATCGAAAGAAAGAAGGCAAACGCGAGCGCGTTCCCATTTTTTTAAAATTAAGAGCTGCCTCCATTTGAAATGTTCCCCAAGCCAAAGTAGTAGAGGCTCCCCCATTTCGCAATTTCATGATAAAAATAGGCAAACATATGCTTACACATAGGTTACCATCTCTAATTTGAAGTACCTATACCTACTGCATGTATCCTAACTTTCCTTCTTTCATCATTATCACATATCATTACAATATTCCTATCTCAAATATGATTATGCCTGCATCGTCCTACATCTTCGTAATTTGGACTGGATTTATTGCAGTCCAGTGGCTAACCATTCATAGATTCAGCACCATTAAATTCGTGAAACCGAAAACTAATCGGTTTGTAATAGCTCCTGACAGATTTCAGATATACAATGGAAACAAATAAACTTATTTTTTTGAAGGTCATCCAGAATTAACTATTAACGCTACATGTGTATCTCGTAGTGTGATGAATGCAAACCCTAATTGGCTTATTACTCACTTTGTTCAAGGGATTAAATCTCGTAGTGAAGATGAAAGATTTAAAGCTGTAACTGAGTTATGCAAAGTAGTAAGCAGTGAGCTGAAAGAGGTATCGAACCAAAACTACGTTATATGTTTGGATTTGTTATGTAATGAGTTGATTAACATATTTTCGAGTGGTGATATACATGAAAAGAAAGGGGCCGTAGTTGCAATGGGTAAGTTGTGTACTGTCAAAATTAATATCAGTTGGTTAATATCCATCTAATAATATTTTCTGTACATGGCCCTTTTAATATCAATTTATGTTAGATAGTGACAACAATTCAATATACCAATATTTTATACGTGTTCATTCTTTCCATATGCACTAGGCAAATTTGTTTTCATTGTATCATCTATTGCATATTTTGTGTGTAAAAATATACGTAAAACATTGATGTGACTTTTGTAATTGGTTTTGTGTACTATCCACATGTTTTGATTCAGCCTTGTTAGCTATATTCAAAGTCTACTTAAAATATTTCATTTGTAAAACTGCTTGTTCAAAATGTACTTACAGTTTGTATTCTTAACTACGCAGTACATAATAAATATTGTAACGTGATAGTAATCAATTACCGGATAATATTAGTTTTCTACTGAGCGTAGTGCTACCGAGGAAACAATACATTCAACTTGTAAAATGTAAATTGCCTTGTGTTCAATAAATTTCCGTCACTTAGTGCTTTGACCACTTTTTATACAACTTTCAAAGCTGTTATATTCTAATAGATCTTGCTGCGTAAGTGGTGAATTTCTAGTATGTTTTTGTGACTGTACTATTTTAACTCAACTTATCTGATGTTTTTCTCATCCTGGAGTAACGGAATTCGTAATCCTTTTGAATAATCATGTGTCTATCGTTTTTAAAATACTCAGAGTACGTATTTGTGGTTATCTGAGTAGAATACTTCATCCACATAAACCGTCCAGTACTTCCCGGTTTCTAATGGTGGTTTAACAGTGATTCGTTCTTGATTTTAAGGTAGAATGATAACTAATGTAAACACTTAAATGATTATTGTTATAATTACTTTCTCCTCTATGACTTTTGCTGTAGTAATATCCATAATACTTCAAGCGTTATTGCTAATTTGGTATGGCAACTTAAACAGATGTACTTACGTACGAAGTTCTACGTTGCTGTTGATTGATTGATTGATTGAAGCGCTATAAGCATAAATAATCCCGATTGTTATTGTAAAGGATAATGGTAAATTATGGAAACTAAACGTTTACCTAAATTGTGTATGGGGTAGTGTTTTTATTGATAATTTAATTTGAACACAGGTAAATTTGTATTTTCTGTATCTTTTTGGATCACTCTATCACTTTAAATGGCAACTGATTGGTTGGGGTACCCAATTTTCAACCATTAGGTCCTGGTAGGTGTGGAGCATCAAGTTGGAGTCCGCGAGATGAGAGTAACCGATGGTTTCGAGACTTTGAATGACATGGCTCAGAATTGTTTGCAATGGCGCGGGTGCATCCATTCTTAGTGTTCTCTGAAATTCTAATCTTCTTAACTCTTAATCACCCTTATCTTCCTCTTTATTAATTTATTTTACTGAAGTATACTTCTTAAATAATGTCTTCGAACCTTAGTATTCTTCATTACCACCACTACTCTTACTACATCTACCACTATTGGATTTGAATTGACACTACTATATCTCTGTGCTTATAAAGCTGACTGGATTAGTTCCCAAGTTTCAATGATGTTCCACCTACTTCGGCAGGCCAGTAATAGTATCACTAAGCTTTCACATAAAGCTTAACTCAAGCACGAGTACATCAACTTACACGTGGTAAATGGTTTTATTTTAAAATTGTTATAACACCTTTGTCTAGTTACTGTTCTCATGGTTGTGTCCTACCTTAATGTAACCTTAATTAACCTGATATCCGAAAAAATTCAAACAGCCTGAAGGCTCTCGTCAAGCAAACCAAAAAAAGAAATCGTTGGATTATAGTTTTTTTTATGCAGTTTCTTTATTTGGGCTTTTATTTACATTTTTTTTCTGTTCACTACTAAAATGTTATAACTAATAACACTTTCAATAAAACTGTCTAATTTTTTTCTTATCCTTGTCTCAAATTATCTCAAATTATCCTTATTTCTTTAGGTTGTTTAGCTGAAGTCGATTTTATGAGTGTTCATAATCATTGTCAACGTTTTGTAAAACAATTACTCACTCAATCAATAACTACAGATCTTCAATTAACAGCTTTAGAAGCAAGACTTATTGGCCAATTGGGTTTAGTATTTCCATATGATTTTATTGAAGAGCAAATCAAGCATGCTTGTGTTATCCTATCAAAAGATATTTCTGATGCACAGAAACATTTCGCTGTAAGTTTTTGTTTTTCAATTGTTTCTATGTTTTTAGCTATTTTATTGCGTAGTTTTTCTTCCAGGTATTTATAAGATTGATTAAGTTATGCAGAAAAACAGCTGTACATCTGTTTCCTCATCTGTTGTTTAAGATTTCTCGTTTACTTAAGCATTAAGTTTACCTTTTTTGTAATAGTTTTCGGTAATTTTTGGAATTTGTTGAATTTCTAGTATGGCGTATTTAAGAAATTTAGCAATGGGTATAATCGAACATTTCATTATAGCTAACTTCTTAACGCTAACATGTATGTTTCAACAAGTGCATAACTGAATTGGGCATAAAAAAAAGAGGAAAACATTTTACATAACTATCAATTGTGATATATAATCTTGTACGGTTATTTGTATCAAATAACAATCGCCTTCTATTGTTGCACTATACAACAACAGTAAACAGTTAACAAGCCTCTCAACTGAGCAACTGGAAACGTAACATAAGCAACAATGCAAGTATGTTCGGGATGTGGTTTTCCCCCTCGAAATGCAAAATGTTGCTTCAAGATTGGCTTGTGTCGGTACCTGAACTAGTGATAGGGACTGAAGCAGTTGAGTGTGTTGACCACTTCACTTAAATTGGGAGTTTCATCAGTGCCGATGGCCTGGTGACTGATGAAACCTCAGCCCCGACCGTGGCTGCTACCTCCCGACCGTGGCTGCTACCTTGACGTGGTGGTCGGGCTTGCCTATCGTGATGATCCAACCGAGCTATACTGGCTGGAACATATGTTCCTGCAGGTCCTACCATGCCAGACAGGTCGATTGGAGAACGATGAGACTAAAAGCAGCTACCCAAGGTCTGAGGGCGAAGTCGTACTGCTGACTGCAGAGGGGTGTGACAGCAGTAAGGTGTTTCCCTCGGACAACCAGCATCTGCAGCGATGCTGCCTTCTCACAAGGAAGGAAGGGTTAGAAAAGGTCGGCCCTAAAAATGTCACACCTCCCCTAACTCACGGATTTCCGTCTCCTTGGGTAAGGGTGCCCACTAAGGGCCTTTAAGAACGGAGCTAATCCTCAAAAAGCATTTCATAAAAAGGCCGTGCGTGACCGGCCTCAAGCAGTTGTCCCTTGGACTCTGCGGTCACGCACCAACACTAATCTATTTTCCTTTTCAGGTTCCTCAAGAAACAACCTTCCACGGTGTGGGCAGCCGGGAAGTGACAACCGCCCTCATACCCATAACAGCACGCGAGACCGAATTGGTCAAAATCAAATCCTTCCTACACCCCCTAATGTCTCTCTTATCTCCACGACTAACTCTTCTTACATTCATTCATCACATTGCACAGCTAATGCAGACGATACGAGTTCGCGAAAGGTCGATCCTGGTCTCCTTAAACCTCGCTCTAGACTACATGTTGGAGCATTTAATGTACGGACATTGTGTCAAATAGGGCAACAGGCTTCCTTAGCTATGACTTTAGAATCTCGTGCCATCGATGTATGCTGCGTCTCGGAAACGCGCATACAGGATCCGAGTCACGTCATACACTTGACCACACCATGTCAAAATAAAGAAGCAGCTCGATTTACTCTTCGTGTATCCGGTAGCCCTGATGCTGCTTCCCGGGGTCTTGCTGGCGTAGGCATAGCATTGAGTCGTAGGGCAGAACAATCTCTCCTTGACTGGATCCCAATAGATAGTCGATTGTGCGCTGTCCGACTAAGCGGGACAGTAAGGACTCGGAAAGATAGGGACAATCGCCGTTGCCTCTTCATCGTATCTGCCTATGCCCCCACTGAATGCAGTTCAGACGAGGTTAAGGATGAGTTTTACAGAAAGCTTTCGGACCTCCTCCAAAAAGCTAGGCGCTCTGATATAGTAATAATGGCTGGTGACTTTAATGCTCAAGTAGGTAGACTAAGTGAGCAGGAGAGACACCTAGGTGGATGTTATGGTGTCGCGGCTCAGAGAACAGACAATGGTGACCGTCTGTTGCAAACATGCTCAGACAACCGCCTATTCTTAGCAAACACTAACTTTAGGCATAAGGAAAAGCACCTGTTGACCTGGCGACCTCCAAAGTCGTCTCAACGTTGGACTCAACTAGATCACATCGCCATCAGCCACCGATGGAGGGGTTCGATAGAGGACTGTCGCTCGTTCTGGGGCACATGTTTGGATTCAGATCATGCCCTAGTGCGAGCGCGTATTTGTTTGAAGCTTACTGGATGTAGGAAAGACACCGTAAGAAAGCCTCTTAGGGTTTTGCTTAATGATAATAAGGCGAAAAATATATTTCAGGAACAACTAGAAAGACAGTTAGGCGACCATTTAAGCGATTCCCATCCGGAAGCAGGATGGAATGATATCAAAAAGGCTGTGGAAACAGCAGTGATATCTGCTAGTAAGGTTGACCATAAGGCTAGAATGAAACCGTGGATCTCAGTAGCATCCACCGATCTGATGGATGCCCGAAAACTCATCCCACCTGGCTCTGAGCATGATGAAGAACGAATTCAACTTAGGCGCAGACTTATGAAAAGCCTACGTAACGATCGCGAGCAGTGGTGGGTGGCGAAAGCAAAAGCGATGGAAAAGGCAGCGGCGATCGGCAACAGTAGACAACTTTTCCGCCTTATTAAAGAAACTGGTATTAAGAACCCGAATGTGAGTGAGACTATCTCGGAAAAGGATGGTCTTATTATCCATTCTCAATCCAGGAGACTGGATCGATGGGCAGAACACTTTAGGGATCAGTTCAACTGGCCACGAGCCACTCTTCGGTTACCCACGATCTCCAGTCATCCTGAATGGCAAATCGACCTAAGTCCCCCTAGTCTTGATGACGTTGAGAAAGCGTTAGGAAATCTGAAACGAGGACGAGCTGCAGGTCCTGATAGACTGACCCCCGAGATATTTAAGGATGGTGGTCCAGTTCTAGCAGCTAGGTTGACTGAGATCTTAGGTAGAATCTGGGAACTGGACGTAATCCCATCCGACTGGTCTCAATCCTTGATTGTCCCAATCTATAAGAAAGGACAGAAGTCTTCTTGTGACAATCACAGGGGAATAAGCCTAACTAACATAGTATCTAAAATATTGGCCTCAATAATACTTCGACGCTTAACGAAAGCTCGTGAAGAGCAAACTCGGGAAAACCAATCTGGTTTTCGACCTGGACGTGGCTGCATAGACCACATTTTCACACTCAGACAGGTCCTGGAACACAGACACACATTTAGGCGTCCTACAATAGTTGTTTTCCTGGACCTTAAGGCGGCATTTGACTCAGTGGATCGTGAGGTTCTGTGGCAGTGTCTGTCATTGAAAGGTGTACCACAGAAGTACATTAACCTTATACAAGCCCTATACTCGAACACCACTGGTCGAGTGAGGGCTTATGGCGAACTGTCACCGGAATTCTCTACATCAAGTGGTGTCCGTCAGGGATGTCCACTTTCTCCATTCTTGTTCAATTTTATCATAGACATGCTCCTAGACATAACATTGTCCTCGTCTGAATTTTCAGGAGTAGACCTTTTACCAGGTGGCTCGCTTATTGACTTAGAATATGCCGATGACATTGTCCTACTTGGTGAAGACGCTGAAAAAATGCAGAGTCTTCTGACTACCCTAAGCAACAATGCAAGCATGTTCGGGATGCGGTTTTCCCCCTCGAAATGCAAAATGTTGCTTCAAGACTGGGTGTCATCGGCACCTGAACTAGTGATAGGGAGTGAAGTGGTCGAACGTGTAGACCGCTTCACCTATCTTGGGAGTCTCATCAGTGCTGATGGCCTGGTGACTGACGAAATCTCGGCACGGATACAGAAGGCTCGATTGGCTTTTGCCAACCTGCGTCACTTATGGCGTAGACGAGATATCCGTTTGCTGACTAAAGGACGAGTGTACTGCGCAGTGGTTCGCTCCTCCGTCTTACTTTATGGCTGTGAAACATGGCCAATGAGAGTAGAAGACACTCGACGGTTATTGGTTTTCGATCATAGGTGTCTTCGAAGCATTGCTCGTATATCGTGGGACAACCGAGTTAGCAACGCTGTTATTAGGAAACGGGTGCTAGGTAAGAATGGCAGATCAATCGATGAAGTGGTGAAACTTCATTGGTTGAGGTGGTTGGGACACGTGTTGCGTATGCCTAACCACCGACTGCCTCGTCGAGCTTTGTTTTGTAGTGTAGGAATAGGTTGGAAGAAAGCTAGGGGCGGTCAAACCAAAACATGGCATAAATCCATGAAGTCATTGACGAGTGGACTTAGCCATGTCGGTAATTGTCGACTACCTGGTTGGGGTCCGCGAGATGATAATAATCGATGGTTAGAGACCTTGAATGACATGGCTCAAAATCGTTCGCAATGGCGCCAGTGCATTTATTCTTTGTGTTCTCTCAAATCCTAATCTTCTGAGTTCTTCAACACCTCTAGCTTTTACTTTCTAAACTTATCTCATTGAATCACACTTCGTGAATAATATGTTCTAATCCTAACCTCTCCGATTACTTCTAATACCTTTACTACCTCTTCTACTATTGGATTTGAATTGACAATTATATCTCTGTGCTGATGTGGTATGGCGACATGAACTGATGTACTTACGTACGAAGTTCTACGTTGCAACTGACTGACTGACTGACTGAAATCTCAGCACGGATACAAAAGCCTCGATTGTCTTTTGCCAACCTACGTCACTTGTGGCGTAGGCGAGATATCCGTTTTCTGACTAAAAAGCGAGTGTACTGCGCTCCGCCCTACTTTACGGCTTTGAAACATGGCCAGTGAGAGTAGAAGATATTCGTAGGTTACTGGTTTTCGATCACAGGCGTCTCTGAAGCATTGCTCGTGTATCCTAGGACAACCGAGTAAGCAATGCTTTAGTTAGGAAACGAGTACTAGATGGGGACGGCAGGTCAATAGATGAATTAATTAAACTTCATCAGTGGAGATGGTTGGGACATGTGTTGCTAATATCTTACTACCTCTACTACTATTGGATTTGAATTGACAATTACATCTCTGTGCTAACGTGGTATGTCAACAGGAACTGATGTACGTACGTACGTACGTACGAAGTTCTACGTTGCTATTGATTGATTGACTGATTGGTTCGATAGATGTCTTATATACAAAACAATGTTCACTAGAAGGATTGTAATCAATCTTTATTTTATAGAGTAGATGATATCAACAGTGAAACACTAGGGTTAGTAAAAGTTAAAGAAGCAATAACAAGCTTGATAATCATGAATGAAGATTGTGTCGATTTCAGGATATACAAGATACTTCTCAAATCATTTTTTTGATGTGATGGTAAAGCGGATCGTTATACTACTTACTATTCACCCTTGTTTTCCGGTAATCGTTTTCTCCAGTATTTACTAGTGAAATCGTCATCTATGTTTCGCAATATTTCTAAATTCATTTTTATTTTACATTTAACTATGGATTGTCTTTGTGATTTGTAGATTTTAACTTTACGTGAATTTATTTTGAATACACCAACAAGTTTCTGTCAACATATGGGTTCGTTTATTACAGCTATTCTTTCTGCTCTTCGTGATAAAAATGTAAGTTACTTTTTGATCATTAAAAATCTGTATTTTCTCTACACAGTGTGTTTGATTGATTGATTCTAATCTTGAAAAAAAATATTTTTTCCGTCCGGTAGGAAATTTCATATAACTAACTATCTATCTTTCAACACTTACTTATTTTCGCCTGTTACCCTGGATGTGGACATGTGCTACGTATGCCTAACCACCGACTGCCTCGACGAGTTTTGTTTTGTAGTGTAGGAATAGGTTGGAAGAAAGCTAGGGGCGGCCAAACTAAAACATGGCAGAAATCCATGAATTTATTAACAAGTGGACTTAGCCATGTCGGTAGTTGTCGACTACCTGGTTGGGGTCCGCGAGATGATAATAATCGACGGTTGGAGACCCTAAATGACATGGCTCAAAACCGTTTGCAATGGCGCCTGTGCATTTATTCTTTGTGTTCTCTTAAATCCTAATCTTCTGAATTCTTCAACCCCCTCTAGTCTTGTCTTTCTAAACTTATCTCACTGAATCATAGTTCTTGAATAATATCTTCTAATCCTAACCTCTCCGACTACTTCTAATACTTTTACTACCTCTACTACTATTGGATTTGAATTGACGATTATATCTCTGTGTTGATGTGGTATGGCAACATGAACTGATGTACTTACGTATGAAGTTCTACGTTGCATCTGACTGACTGACTGTTACTCCGGATGTAACATATTCCAACGACCAGCTAATTGTTTTACCTGGTTAGCGTTTTTATAACGTGTTGGATTTCTACGGGGTATCGGTCGCGAAATTCATGCCCTACCCTCGCTTTATCTGGGCTTGGGACCGGCAGTAACTCTTGAAAGGGCTCCAGCCGGAGTTATTTTAACTACATGAACTAAGTTTATTCGACAAACAGCATTACAACGGTTAATTTAAAAATCTTAAAGTCGTTAAAACTCTACAAGAACAACATGACACAACATCGTTTGCAATGGCGCAGGTGTTTTCATTCACTATGTTCTTTCAAATTCTAATCTTCAGAATTCCTCATTATCTACATCTTTCTCTTTCTAAACTTATCTCACTGAACTACACTTGTTGAATAATAACTTCGATCTCTAATATTCTCCATTACCAGTAATAGTGGTGTCTCTGTGCTAATGCGGTACGGCAACCTGAACTGACGTATGTATGTACGAAGTTATACGTTGTATCGGTCCAACTAACTGACTGATTGATTGTGAATGTTGTAACGCTTGCTTAAATAATTCCCAGTTAAATCCTATTGCTTAGTATTCTCTGACCACAATACACTGGACAAGTTCCAAGGAATCAAAAACACGGTTGAACAGGAAAAGATTATATTCCAAATAGCAAGGTTAAGTGGAAATAAGAAGCCAAAGGTGATGGCGATGGCGAAGGCAAAAATAGATACAACGTTAGTTTATTTATAGCATTTACATGAGAAGCTTCTGGATAGAAATTCACGTGATCGACTGGATTAAATTTAGCCAATCAGCACGCAACTAACAATACCCTGTTCTTTAAGAATCGATCAGGCGCTGATTGGATAGGAAATTAGCGCTCAACACTAGGATCATAAATTCTAACCATATTTCATATCAACAATGATACATTCCATTGTGTGGTGTAAAACACTTTCTCCGAAAACTTAATTCCATGCAATTAAGGAAATAAGGACGAAGCGATGGAAGTGGATAGAGGACACCAACTGCGGAAAGTACTTAAATGCGTCACAACACAAGCCCTCACTCGGAATCCTCAAGGTTAAAGGAAAAGAGAAAGGTCAAGGAACACATTACGCCGAGAAATTTGAGAATGACATGAGAAGAATGAACTAAGTAGGACAGAGTAGGTTGGAGAATACTGATTTCCCGTGGTTGTATAGACCACATCTTCACACTAAGACAGGTCCTGGAACACAGACACACATTTAGGCGTCCTACAATAGTTGTCTTCCTGGACCTTAAGGCGGCATTTGACTCAGTGGATCGTGAGGTTCTACGGCAGTGTCTGTCATTGAAAGGTGTACCAAAGAAGTACATTAACCTTATACAAGCCCTATCTACTCGAACACTACTGGTCGAGTGAGAACTATCATTGGAATTCTCTACATCAAGTGGTGTCCGTCAAGGATGTCCACTTTCTCCATTCTTGTTTAATTTTATCATAGACATGCTCCTAGAAATAACCTTATCCTCGTCTGAATTTTCAGGAGTAGACCTTTTACCGGGTGGCTCGCTTATTGACTTAGAATATGCCGGTGACATAGTCCTACTTGGTGAAGACGCTGACAAAATGCAGAGTCTTCTGACCACCCTAAGCAACAATGCAAGCATGTTCGGGATGCGGTTTTCCCCGTCGAAATGCAAAATGTTGCTTCAAGACTGGGTTGCATCGGCACCTGAACTACTGATAGGGAGTGAAGTAGTCGAGCGTGTAGACCGCTTCACTTATCTTGGGAGTCTCATCAGTGCCGATGGCCTGGTGACTGACGAAATCTCAGCTCGGATACAGAAGGCTCGATTGGCTTCTGCCAACCTGCGTCACTTATGGCGTAGGCGTGATATCCGTTCTCTAATCAAAGGACGAGTGTACTGTGCAGCAGTTCGCTCCGTTCTCCTATATGGCTGTGAAACATGGCCAGTGAGAGTAGAAGATACTCGTCGGTTACTGTTTTTCGATCATAGGTGTCTTCGAAGCATTGCTCGTATATCGTGGGACACCCGAGTGAGCAACGCTGTTATTAGGAATTGGGTGCTTCTAATCCTAACCTCTTCGATTACTTCTATTACTTTTACTACTTCTTCTACTATTGGATTTGAATTGACAATTACATCTCTGTGCTGATGTGTTATGGCGACATGAACTGATGCACTTACGTACGAAGTTCTACGCTGCATCTGACTGACTGACTGAAGAATACTGATTGGTGGCCTATGCGCCATTCGGGGTAAAAGGTGTAAGTAAGTAAGTAAGTGACTAAGTTGGTCTCGTTTTTGAACAGAGAAGCTAATATGACATATACTGAAAATTTAAACGTTGACTCATGCCTCTTGTTTAGTTCAGCTAAATAAAGGGAATTCAACTGTATTTTCTTGAATTGTTTTCTTTTGTACACCTTATCATCGTCATTAATGTTTCCACTAATACTCAAATACTACGTTATTTTCAGTCGGTTACAAGAGAATTAGCTGGAGCTGCATTACGTTGTGCATTCATTTTAACTGCTAAACGTGAACAACGACGTTATCGAACTTATTTAGGCGTAGATCATAATCGTATGGCTGAAACACCTGGAAGTTTTACAAATCTCGACAGTGGTACTGCATCGGTTTTCAGTCGAACATTTTTTTCTTCAAGTGGAAATTCACGTCATAAATCAAATCCAAATTCAATGAGTACTGTGAATTTTCCCGGTCTTGACTATACTATGAATGATACAAGTTCTACATCATCACCATTTATATGGTATCGAGATTGTTTAGTAGAATCCATCAGAGCTCAAAATGAAACAACTGCAGTTATTCTACAAGAGCAATCAAGTCATGTAAGTGTACTCTCATGAAAAATGACTACATCACAATAATTGTTGATATTGAATTTCAACGTATAACCTCAATGACAACTTGTTCATTTGTCATGTAGGATAACGGATGAATTTTGTTAAGATAGATGGCTTATAGATTTGAATTTATGTGTATTTGATACTTTCATGGTCCAAATGTTCGAAAAACTCATTTACTCATTGATGACATCCAAATCGGGGAACTTAGGGCTTCAATCTGTTATAATGACGTTATGTAGCTATTGAAATCCTACTGACGTCCAGTACGACCCCAGATACTATTCCCAAATCTCCTACATATATATATCAGAACACAATACCGTTAGAAGTTCTTTATGGGGTCGAGTACAGTAGAGAGGAAGGCAGGAAGTAATGGAATGAATAGCTTTACAGATAATGCGTATTTATACATTAAGGTTCAATAGGAAAGAGTATCGAAGTCTGTGACATTGACAGTTAAGGCGACCAATAAGAAACAACATTTGAAGTGACATTGATAGTCAGGACAACCAATAAGAAACAACATTGGAGTACGTGACATTGATGTCTAGGACGACCATAAAATTGACCAATAGAGATTAACCAATAGGAATTGACCAATAATTCTCTTAGGATATTGGATGAATATCCTAATACATTCAAGGCTTCTAGTACTAATATAATACTAATCAGTATCTACTTTTAACTTCTGTTGTGCATTAAAAGCAAAACTTTGTAGGTTACCTTTTAAGATCTAGTTTATCGTTCAATCATAGCTGTTTTAAGTGACGTAGTTGTCATATTATACACCTTTATCATGCTAACTTGATCGAGTTATATTAGCTAAAACATTTGTTCCTTGATATACTACTGTGTCATACAGGTTGTTTAATAAAGAGTGGTATGACTGAACGCATAAAAAATTAAAGTTTAACCATAAAGTTACAGCATTAACTGTCCTGGGGTTTTGGCATAGTTAACATGCTTCCCACATGCAAATGGTACCTTCTCAGGCCGAGCCTAAGAGTCTCATTTCTTACTTTTATTTCATGAATTTCTGGCATCAGCGATAATGGTCTGAATAGTATTAGGCTAATGCAAGAGACTGATTTCAGAAAAAAATGTTTCTTTGGGTTTTGTATTTATATTTCAAGGTTTATAAGTGTTAGGATATTTACCAAATATTCTACGAAGAATCATTTTGTGAGTGTAAATTCTATTGGTCGATTCCTATTGGTCAATATTATCATCGACCTAGCTATCAATGTCACGTACTTCAATGTTGTTTCTTATTGGTCATCTTAACTGTCAATCTCACAGACTTCGATGTATAAATACAAATTATCTGTAACGTTTTATGGTCCGGATCCTTAGTCTGGGATACGTTTATTCTTCTGGACTCAGACCTCGTACTTTCTGGATGCTTGTAGAATACAGGCTCTACTTCATATCAAGTCTTCTTCTTTCACTCAATGAGGGTTGGGAAACTCGGATTAGAGTAGCATGTCGTATCGCTGGGTCCTCGCTCTCGTTTTGCGACTAAGATAAACTCATAGTAGTTCAAGCATATCAAATGACGTGTTTGCGTATATTCGTACCAATAAGACCTTCACTAACTAATCCAATTTTCTTTCCATATAGTTTACGGAAAAATATCTTACCACTACATGAACAGTTGGGCAAAATCAATTGCTCGTACGTATTCTCATTTATAATCAAATATCTTCCCTTCTTCTTAATGTTGGGGATGTTAGATCCCCAGAATTCGCTTGATAAATATCTTTATTTCGGGTTTATTTCATGGACCGATCAGTCGACCTTGAGATTTCATTTCCCACCAGGAAAATCCATGTCTGTGATTGACTGCTGTGTATTTTAGTGTGCTTTTTTCGTAACTGTCCTAAGGACGTTTGTATGATGTATAAATAAACGAGAGTTGTGTGCTTGATTGTATTGTGATTGCTGGGTGTTTGTAGAATATACTTTCTACGCTTATCAAGACTTGTGTTTTACAGTTTGGGATTCAAGGTAATTGTCTCGTTCTCGTTAATCGACTAAGGTGAACCCGTAATAATTCCGAGTGTACCCAGTGACGAACATAACACTAAACAATTCTCTTCTTATTATCTTACATAAATTCATTTCCACTAGCTAACTGAAATTCGTCTTTTACTTTCTCCTATCCAGGCATCCAATACTAAAAAACTAAATCGTGATGATTGGATACATGGAAATCTATTGATTTTAGAAGAATTATTATTTTGTGTTCAACCACAATTTTGTAAATTACTCATGGAATTAGATCAAATGTGTGGATTGGTAAGAAAAGTTATAAAAAAAAATAAATACTGTATTTGTTATTGATTATTTATTCAAGGCATCATTTTTCTATACACACTAGACTGTTTATAAAGTACTGAGTATGTAGTGTGTTGATTTTGTTGTGTGTTCTTAAGCTCGGTAAAATTAACTCGTTCAGACAATTGTTGCGAAATAGTGTCTGACGGTTGATAAATCAGAAGATGAATTCGTAGTGATGAATACGTTTATTCGGGACACACCACAAAGCGAAGCCGAGAAGCAGTGTATAAAACGAATGAAGCGACGCGAATCGGAGAAGGCTTTTGAGCCAACTCCCTGGGTTACAATGCGAACGAAACGGATGAATAGGCGAAATGTGTTGGAGAAGGCTAAGAGCCAACTCTTTGGATTACAATGTGAGCGAATGGGCGAAGCTAATTGGAGAAGGCTGATGAGCCAACTCCTTGAGATAGATCATGACTAAGAATATAGAGTCAGAGAAATATAAGACAGACATGTGACAAGCGAAATAGACACACATGAATAAAAGCGACGAATAGTTGACAAGGTCAAATGACAAGTGGGACACGTCATGTGAGCTCATACAAACCAGACAATAATAATATGAACGAATGGTACATATAAATTGTTGCAATACAAATTCGCTTGATTAAATAAATTAATCGAAAGGGCTTCTTAACCAAGTTAGATGTAAGGTCTCTAACCATCGGTTACAATCATCTCGCGGACCGCGACCAGGTAGTCTACGTGTAGTAACATGACTCAGTTCACTTGTCAGTGACTTCATGCATTTGTGCCCTGTTTTGGTTTAGCCGCCCCTAGCTTTCTTCCAATCTATTCCTACACAGCTAAATGAGGTAGTTGTTGGTTAGGTGTACGTGACACATGTCTCAACCATCTCACCTGCAGAAGTTTCAATACTTCGTCTATTGATCTTCCATCCTTACCTAGTACTCGTTTACTAATGAACAGCATCGCTTACTCAGCTCACCTAGGATACACGAGCAATGTTTCGGAGACACCTATGATCGAAAACCAGTAACCTACAAATATCTTCAACACTTACTGGTCATGTTTCACATCCGTATAGTAGGACGGTGCGATTGAATAACAGAAATACAAACATTTTTGTTAAACAAATAGATAAAACGACCTGGAAACACTAATGGTGTGGTCTAACAATGATTGATTGATGATTTCAAATGTGTAAAAATACTAATCTCCATAACTCTCTAATTGAAAAGATAAAATGACCATTGATTTAACAGTATATGCATATAGGCTCAACAGCCTGAAAGGAACAATGTGCGACAAAAGCTTGTACAATTAAAACGTTCGAAAATAACTTTGAAAGCATGGACAGCTCAAGAGTAACAACTATCTCTGTGATGAACTTTCAAACATACATGTTATATTTTGGGGCAGAGTTTTGGAGGTTTGTGTTTTTACACATTTGAAATCATCAATCAATCATTGTTAGACCACCATTAGAAACCTGGAAGCACTGCAAGACCGCCGTTTCGTCCTGGTATGGGACTCATCAGTGGGAATGGGGCATCCACGAACTCCTGCTCGTCTCAGGATCCGAACCCGGGGCATTCGGTATTGTGCGCGAACGCCTAACCATCGAACCACTGGGAAGGCATCCAACGGTGTTATAGAAGGTCTCTAACCACTACTACTACTACTACTACTACTACTACTACTACTACTACTACCTATTAACGTCTCAAAGACTTCAGTTGAAAAAAGCTTCTAGTTCTCTACTTACTACTACATCAATGGAGTAAGTGATTACGTGTTTAGTTTCTCGTTTTTTCATGTCCTTATAATATTTTTTTTGCACTTAGCATCATATCATTAACTTATTTCTCATGTTATGTATGTACATATTTTTCCCTTTCAAACTAGCCATTATTCGACTTTCTTACTGTTAATCATACTGATGGCAGTTTAGCTGTACGTACAGTCTTGTCTACACGATGGCCTACTGTGAATGCTTCATGTATTTCTGTAGCTATTGGTGTACTGCCTGGTAATCCATTTTGTTCATCAGATTCTGAACAATTGCCAAATTTAGCACTTGAATTACTTGGTCTACGTGATGGTGTCAAACAAGGATCGAATAACTATTATTATCAACAACACCATCAACAACAAAAACCTCAACACCAACCTCAACATCAACAGCTCAATGTACAACAACGTCAACAACAATATGCACGACAAAATTTTAGTAATTTATCATCGGAAATATGTCAATGTCTTTTGTTAGAGAATATTGACAAAGTAAGTGTGTGTGTGTGTGTGTGCTTAACACACATTGTTTTGCATTGTGATTTCAAACAGTCAGTGAGTCAGTGAGTCAGGCACAATGTAGAACTTTGTACGTATGTAGGTACGTACATGCGCGTACATCAGTTCAAGTTGCCATAATAGAAGTATTAACAGTAGTGGAGAAGATTAGGGATTGAAGATATGATTCTAGAAGTATTATAGTTCAGTGAGATAAGTGTAGGAAGAGGAAGATAGAGATAATGAGGAATTCAGAATTTGAGAGAACACAAAGAGTGGATTCACCTGCACCATTGCAAACGATTTTGAGCCATGTCGTTCAAGGTCTCTAATTATCGGTTACTTTCGTCTCACGGGCCCCAACCAGGTAGCCTGTATCTACAAACATGACTCATTCCAGTTGTGAGTGACTTCATGGATTTTCGCCATGTTTTGCCTTGACCGCCCTTAGCTTTCTTCCAACTTATTCTTACTCCTGTTACTGGTAGGAAGGATTTGATCTTGACCAATTCGGTCTCGCTTGCTGTTACCGGTATGAGGACGGATGTCACTTCCCGGCTGCCCACACCGTGTTTCTAGGGGGACCTGAAAAGGAAGGTAGATTAGTGTTGGTCTTAACAACCTGAGAGCATGACCGCAGAGTCCAAAGGATAACTGCTTGAGGCCGGTCACGCATGGCCTTTTTATGAAGCATTGCAGGGTTGTTGTGAAGATTGTTAAGTTTTATTTGTAACCATGAATCGATCAATGTTAGACCACCATTAGAAACCTGGAAGCACTGGATGGCCGTTTCGTCCTGGTATGGGACTCATCAGCAGTGCGCATCCACGACTCCTGCACCTCGCAGGATTCGAGCCCAGGACCTTCGGTATTGTGCGCGAACGCCCTAACCGTTAGACCACTGAGCCGGTATCTAACGGTGTTAATGTCTAACTTGATCAAATCCACGGAGTTGCGCGACCTCATACCCTGTATACATCCGGACAGGTTTGAACTTCACTGGTCACGACTTCCCGCTAGAACTCGGAGAAGATTCCTCACCAAGCTAGTCACTAGTGGCCACATGTCATTGCATTGCGGGGTTGTTGTGAAGATTGTTAAGTTTTATTTGTAACCATGAAGGGTTTTTTGAGTATTCGCTCCGCTCTTTTTAAAGCCCTTAGTGGGCGCCATTACCACCCGAGACGGAAATCCGTGAGGTAGGTTGAGGTGTGATATTTTAAGGGCCAACCTTTTCTAACCCTTTCTTCCTTGTGAGAAGGCAGTAGCATCGCTGCAGATGCTGGTTGTCCGAGGTAAACACCTTACTGCTGTCACACCCCTCTACAGTGAGCAGTACGACTTCGCCCTCAGACCTTGAGTAGCTGCTTTTAGTCTCATGGTTCTCCAGTCGACCTGTCTGGCATGGTAGAACCTTCAGAGACATATGTTCCAACCAATATAGCTTGGTTGGGTCATCACGATAGGCAAGCCCGACCATCTCGTTAAGGCAGCAGCTACGGTCATGCTCCTACTCCTACGCTGCAAAACATCGCTTTTTGAGGCAGTTGTGGTTGGGCATACTTAATACATGTCTCAACCACCTCAACTGATGAAGTTTCAATATTTTATCTATTGATCTGCCTTCCTTACCTAGTACTCGACTCCTAATTATAGCATTGCCTACTCGGTTGTCCTAGGATATACGAGCAATCCTTCGAAGACATCTATAATCGAATACTAATGACCTAAGAATATCCCTAACTCTAACCGGCCATGTTTCGCATCCATATAGTAGGACAGAGCAAACTACTGTGCAGTGCACTCCTCCTTTGATTAGAAAACCGATATCTCACCTATGCCATAAGTGACACAGGTTGGCAAAAGCCAATCAAGCCTTCTGTATTCATTATGATTTATTTCTCAATTGTCTCTTGTCTAATAAATCATGATTCCAAAAGAAAACACTAAACAGTGTTCACTGTGTACAAAGTATATGCTGACTATACAATCGTTGATAGAAAAAAGGCTGTTAAACAAGGAATTTTAATGGACGCCTAGATTATTTTATACATCCCTCTATGTTCAGTAATATCTTAGATTGTTATCTAAGAATTTAATTTCTCGCTTTTTTTTCTATTAGAGTTATGGAGATTGTTGTTTATTACTGAAATCATGAATCAATCATTGTTAGACCAGACCATTAGAAAACTGGAAGCACTAAAAAATGACCGTTTCTTCCTGATATGAGACGACTACACATCAGCAGTCCACAGTAATCACAAATATCCCTAGATTGTTCACAGTTAGACATTAACACCAATTGGATGCCTACCAGTTCAGTGGTCCAGAAGTTAGGCATTCGCGCGCAAAACCGAAGGTCCTGGCTCTGAATCCTGTGATTCGTGGATGCACACTGCCACTGATGAGTCCCATACCAGGACGAAACGATAGTCCAGTGTTTTCAGGTTTCTAATTATGATCTAACAATGATTGATTCATGATGTCAGTAATAATTTCTTTTTGTCGTGATTATTTAATATTTTAATTTTTTTCAGATATGGGCTTCAGTATTATCATGGATACCTACTCGTAATCATCAGATAATGTTTTTACTTTACAAGTTGATTCCACGTCTTGTTGCTTTGAAACCCAGTGAATTTAAAGATACAGAGTAGGTTGATTGTTTATTTTTCTTGTATATATTTCAAATACTGCAAATTTCTTGTTTATTTAAACTATTACTTCTATCTAACATTGAACAATTGAACATGTGCACATTGGAGGCAGATAAAGTTCGTCCATACACTTTGCCCCCTTTGATTAAATTTGTGAATGACACGTCTGGAGTTCTGATAATTATTAAAATTTGTATTTTAGGTATTATACTAGGCAAACTAGTTTCTTTGTGGTTATCACACAGGGGTTTTATTAACTTTCTCATTGACTTAGATAACTAGCAATCAAGATGAATTAAAATGGAACTGTTTACTACGCAACAATTCGCTCCGTCGTACTATACGCGTGGTTAGCTCGGATACAGAAGTCTCGATTGGCTTTTGCCAACCTGCGTCACTTATGGCGTAGGCGTGATATCCGTTTGCTGATTAAAGGACGAGTGTACTGCACAATAGTTTGCTCCGTCTTACTTTATGGCTGTGAAACATGGCCAGTGAGAGTAGAAGATATTCGTAGGTTACTGGTTTTCGACCATAGGTGTCTCCGAAGCATTGCTCATGTATTATGGGACAACCGAGTAAGCAATGCTGTTGTTAGAAAACGGGTAGTAGGTAAGGACGGCAGGTCAGTTGATGAAGTAATGAAACTTCATCAGTTGAGGTGGTTGAGACATGTGCTGCATACGCCTAACCACCGACTGCCTCGACAAGCTATGTTTTGTGGTGTAGGAGTAGGAGTAAGTTGAAAAATAGCTAGGGGCGGCCAGACCAAAATCAAGGAACAAATCCATGAAGTCACTGAAAAGTGAACTGAGTCATGTTGGTAGATGCAGGCCTCCTAGTTAGGGTCCGCGAGACTAAAGTAACCGATGGTTATAGACTCTGAATGACATGGCTGAGAATCGTCTGCAATGACGCTAATTGTAATCTTCGGAATACCTCATCATCTCTGTCTTTCTCTTTTTAAGTTTATTTCATTAGATTATATTTCTGAAATCATATATTCGATCCATAATCTTCTTAATTGCCCGTAACACTTTGACTACATCTACTACTATAGGATTTAAACTGACAATCCGATCTCTCGGTGCCTATGTCGTATAGGAACGTGAACTGATATACATACGTACGTAAATAGTTCCACGTTGTAGCTGACCGATTATCTATCTCAAATGTTCTGCTTCATGTTTCAGTTATATGCAATGAGATGATTCTAGACCGTTACTCTTCTTGAAGACCACATAACTGAAGCAGATTAAGAACTAAAGATCAGATTATATGATGAAATTAATTCCTGTTAGGATATTCACCAAATATCCTAAGAGTACTATTTTTAGAAGTATAATCCTATCGGTCAAAATTATGGTCGTTTTAACTGTCAGAGTGAAATACTTCAATGTTGTCTCTGATTGGTCTTACGGACTGTCAATGTCATTTCAAATGTTCTTTCCTAATGGTCGTCCTAAACTATCAGTGTCACAGACTTTGATGCTCTTTCCTATTCGACCTTAATGTATAAATACGCACTATCTGTAAGACTCGATTATTCCGTTTCTCCTGCCTACCTCTCTTCTGTACTCGACCCAATAAACAACTCCATCCCACGGTGTTGCGTTCTGATATGTATGAGATTTGGAAATAGAATTTTGGGTCGTATTGGGATATTTGAATTGGACGCCGCTTTTACTGAATAGCGATACGTAGCAGCGTTATAACAATTCCCTAGTGTTGTTGTTGTTGGTGGTGGTTTTTCTGTCCGAACTGCCATTGTGTTCATGGCACGAGGTGTGGTTTCACCACGCCTGACTAAATGGACATAGTCTTTCGAAAGCGCCCATCCTGGGCAGGACTCGAAACCCGCAACCTCCGGAATCGAAGTCCGATGCACTATCCACTGGGACGCCCTCTAGTGTTGCTAGTAATACTAAATGTATGATGATATATTGACGTTAAGAAAACGAATTATCTTATGTTTATCAGTAGTATGTATATATATATATATATATATATATATATATATATATATATATATACATTTCATTGTCCACTCTATCCTGGATTTTTTTTATTCTTATAGACGTCAATCAACCGTCATGGATTGGATGTTTCAATGTTTACGTAAAGAAAGAGAAAAACCAATGATTTTATTAAATTTATCATTAATATGTTATTTTATGGGTGCGGAATTTGCTACATCAAATTATGTTGCACAACTTTTCCAATTGATTCGTTCTTATTTACCAACACAGAAAGATATTGCCAATAAGTAAGTTCGTCGTCTAGTCCATTGGTAAGAGAGATTTATCCAATCATTGTCTTCTAGGAGTAATTAGGTTTTCTCTTTAATGCTCAAGTAGGTAAACTAAGTGAGCAGGAAAGACAACCTAGGTGGATGTTAAGGTGTCGCGACTCACAGAACAGACAATGGCGAGCGACCGTCTGTTGCAACTGTGCTCAGATAATCGCCTATTTCTTAGCAAACACTTATTTTAGGCATAAGGTAAAGCATCTGTTGACCTGGCGACCCCCGAAGTCGTCTCAACGTTGGACTCAACTAGATCACATCGCTATCAGGCACCGATGTACTGACGTACGCAGTTCTGCGTTGTATCTGTCCGTCTGTCTGTCTGTCAATTTGGTTTTCTAATGGAATATTTTTTTTACAGTTCAGTGTCCATTTCACATTCAAGAAGAGGATTGTGAATGCCAACTGTAGCACTAGATAACTTCACATTTGCATAGTGCATAAGATCAGTAATTCGTTTTTTTTGTGAAGCCGAGTAATAGTAGTAGTGTTGTAACGCTTGCTTAGATTATGCCACAATACACTGGATAAGTTCCAAAGAATCAAGAACACGGTGGAACAGGAAAAGATTATATTCCAAATAGCAAGGTTAAATACAAATAAGAAGCCGAAGGCGAAGGTGACATAAATACAACGCTAGTATCTTTATAGTATTTACATGAGAAGCTTCTGGATTGTGATTCACGTGATCGACTGGATTAGATTTAGCTAATCAGCGTGCAGCTAACAACACGAGAATTTTCTACCCTGTTATCCAAGAATCGATCATGCGCTGATTGGATAGGAAATTAGCCATTCAGCGCTGAGCTAACGCAGTCATGCTTTATTTCCATCTATGTCCCACTAACAAGTAGTATTAGTAGCAGTAGTATGGTTAGCTCTTACAGAGAAAAAAGAAATAGCGTAGCTCAAACCGAAGAGTATAACTGTATTCTTGATTATTGTATTGTTTTAAATGAAACATGATATTTATAGAAGTAAACTGATTCAACATAGAAAAGAGGGCAGGCATTTGAATAGAATATACACATTGCTCTAGTAAGCAGTAGTTCATGATTTCTGAAATGAGTCTTTCACGATTCTTTTCCAATGCACAACATCGTATTGAAGTGTGTATAATTTAGTTGAATTGTATTAATTTAATTTTTAGGTTCACTTTCTTAAAAGTTTTATTTCTGTTGAAATAGCGGTTGATAACTGGTGGTGACTAGCTCCATGAGGAATCTTCTCCAAGTTCTAGTGAGACGTCGTGACCAGTGTAGTTCTACCCTGTTCGATTGTGAAGCAGTGCTCACCGAAGACAGTGTATGAGGTTGCGCGAGGTCGTGTATTGATCGAATTTAGATATGGGCTCATTGGTCCAGATGTTAGGCATTCGCGTGCAAGACCAAAGGTCCTAGGTTCGAATCCTGCGAGGTGCAGGAGTTGTGGATGCGCACTGCTGATGAGTAGTCCCATACCAGGATGAAACGACCATCTTTCAGTGCTTTCAGTTTTCTTATGGTGGTCTAACATTGATCGATACATGATTTCAATAAGTATCTCAACAATCTCCACAAAAATAATTATGATAATTTTGATTCCTTAATCACAGGAATCTACTGTCACTTTTCATATGTATGTATAAATCTATTTCCTACAAATGGATGTAATTGATAGTCTTATCACAATGAACCATTGTATAGTTTAACACATCTCACGGACTAAAAGCAGCAACTTAAGGTCTGAGGGTGATGTCGTACTGCTAATTGTGGAGAGATGTGGTGGCAGTAAGGTGTTTCCCTCCGACAGCCAGCATCTGCAGCGATGCTACTGCCTTCTCTCAAGAAACGGAGAAATTAGAAAATGTCAACCCTAAAAATGTCACACTTCACCTTACCCGATGGATTTCCGTCTCCGGCGGTATGGCCGTTTAAAAGGAGCGGAGCTAACACTTTAAAAAAACTTACCATTAAAAGGACGTGCGTGACCAGCCTCAAGCAGTTGTCCCTTGGGCTTTACGGTCACGCTCCCAGGTCTCTAAGTCCAATACCAATCCAATTTCCTTTTCAAGTTCCTCAATAAATACTCTTCCACGGTGTGGGCAGCCAGGAAGTGACATTCGCCTTCATTCTCGTAACAGCACATGACTCTATTACATCAGTTCATCGATCAGTATTTCATTCTTTATATGGTACAAAAGGATCTAGCCATAGGGTGGAGGAGGGTAAACATTATGAATAACTGACATTGATATGCATTAACAAGGAATCATGCAAATTGTTCCAATTTTATTCAAAATTTCAGTGGTGCCCACCTATCCACATGAAGTTATCACTTTTCACCTGTCTTTCAAGTTTGTCTTGTCATACTTCGCTTGAATATCATTTTTATTTGATATCTTATCACCGGAGCTATTTTTCGAATACAGTAACATAAACCGAACTCGAAGTCATTTTGTACTAGCCATTTAGTTATATTTACTTACTTACCTATGCCTGTTATCCCCTAACGGGGGAGTATAGGCCGCTGACCGTCATTCTTCAGCCTACTCTGTCCTGGGCTTTCCTGTCTATTTCCGTTCAGCTGTTGTTCAGACTACTTAGTTATATGTTAGGGATGTTGGATCCCCAGAACTCACTTGATAAAGGTCTTAACTTTGGCTTTTATGTTTTAGCGCATGGGCTGATCATTTGACCCTGAGATTACATTTCCCCCTTGGAAAATCCTTGACTGTTATTGGTTGATGTAGTATATTAGTACGCTATTTTTGTGACTCTCACCAAGGACGTTTCTATTATTGTATAAATAAACTCGATTTGTGTCCTTGAATAAACCTGAGTGCTTGTAGAATACACTTTCTACGTCTTGTCAAGTCTTCTTCCTCTACTTAGAGATCGCTTGGGTCGCTTGGATTAGAGTAGCCTATCGTGTCACTGGATCATTTGTCTTCACTCTCAATTTACCGACTAAGGTGATCTCGTAATAGTATTCAAGCATATCAATTGATGAGCATAACATTATACTGGATTGCATGCAGTAAATTCAGTATTCTGGTACATGAGTTACCCAGTGTAAAATATAACTAACACATGAACATTCAATACTTGGTCACCAATGGTTAGAGACCTTGAACGATATGGCTTAAAATCGTTTGCATTGGCGCAGGTGCATCCATTCGTTGTGCTCTCTCAAATCTTAATCTTCTGGAATCGTCAGCACCTCTACCTTTCTCTTTCTAAAGTTATCTCACTGATTTATACTTCTTGAAAATAATATCTTCAATCCCTAGTCTTATTCATTACCATTAATACCTCAACTATCTGTATCACTATGGGATTTGATTTGACATTTGTGTCTCTCTGTGCTAATGTGGTATGGCAACATGAACTTATGTACATACGTACGAAGTTCTACGTTGCAACTGACTGGTCATAATTTCCTATACAGCTCAACAATTAAATTTCATGAAATCTGCCTATGTTTATGATGTTTTGTTATTGCTGTTTCTCTCTGTTAATTATTCAAGAAAACGTTCACCGGCTATGGAAACATCAGCTATTTTATCTGTAAGTCTATTTGCTAAATCTTATGGTCCTGCAATTAATGAGTCAATCAATCAAATACTTGATTCTATGGTTGCATCCGGTTTAAATCAACCATTGATTGCTTCATTTAAAATGATTGCTATGCATATACCAAGATTACGTAAAGAAATTCAAGTGAGATTATTAATAATAATAATATTATTATTATTATTACTATTATACTTTTTGTTCGGGTGTGACCTTTTTCGTGACCTTTTTTTGTAAGTATTGACTTTTATATACATAAATCATATCGTCATAAAAAAGTTGGTTAAGATGTGTTTGGGGATGTTAGATCCCTAGAACTCGGTTGATAAATAAATGCCTTAAATTTGGATTTCACGTTTGCGAGCGCTGGCTGATCAATTGACCTTGATATCGCATTTGCCACCAGGAAAATCCATGGCTGTGATTGGTCACTGTGTGCTTGATTGTATTATGTACTTGCTGGGTGTTGTAGAGTGTACTTTCTACGTTTACCAAGACCTGTGTTTTACAGTTTGGGATTCAAGTTAGCCTACCTGGACTCTGGTTCATTGTCTCGTTCGCTTTTATCGACTAAAATGAACTGGTAATAGCTTCAAGCGTACCTAGTGACGGACATAACAAGATGTGCACGTGATATACACATATATATATTATTTGAGATTACAGTATTAAATCGTATGCTGAAATTTGTTAAAGTAAATTTTTGCAAGGGGAAAATTTTAAAATAATTCATTTTTAATATAGAGTTATGAAGAATGTTTTGTATTACTGTAATCATGAATCAATCATTGTTAGATTACACTATTAAAAACCTGGAAACACTGCAAGACGGCCGTCTCGTACTGGTATGGAGCTCGTTAACGGCAGTGCGCATACACGACTGCTGCTACTGGCAGGATTCGAACCTTCCTATTTTGCACACGAACTTCTAATATCTAGACCATTGAGTTGACCGGCATCGATCGGTGTTAATATGTACCTCCGATTAATCTAGGGATGTTCGAGCAACGTCACCCATTTGTCTTCAGTAGTTACTGCCTGCACCAAACAGGTCGAACTCCACTAGTCATGTCTTCTCACTAATCTCGTCACTGGTGAGCACATTTTCTGATTTTGCATTAGTGTATTATGGAGATGGTAGGTTTACATAGAAATTATTGTGTTACGAATGCACGTTAACAGGTCAGTTGATATACTTGAACTATTATAAGTTTACCTTAGTCAGTAAACGCGAGCAAGGATCGATGATCCGATGACACGAGAAGCTACTCTTCTCGAGTGTCCCAAACGCCCATTGAGTAAAAGAAGAAGACTTGATATGAAGTATAACACGTATTCTATAAACATTCAGAAAGTACGAGGTCCAAGTCCAGAAGAGGATGAAGATCCTGGATTAAGGATCCGGGTCCGAGTCATAGAACGTTACAGATAATGTATATTCATACAGTTAGGTCGAATAGGAAACAACATTGAAGCTTGCGACATTGATAGTTAGGACGACCAATAGGGGTTAACCAATGTGAATGGACCAATAGAATTAGACTTACAGACAATTCTCTTAGGATATTGGATGAATATCCTAACACATTGTTAGACTACCGTTCGATGTCGACTCACTGATCCCAGGGGTTAGGCGTCCGCGAGCAAAACCTCAGGTCCTAGTTTCAAACCATGATAGTAGCTGGAGTTGTGAATGCACACTACCGATGAGTTCCATACGAGGGCGAAACGCCCGTTTAGGGCTTCCAGGTTTCTAATGGTGGTCTAACAATTATCAATTCGTGATTTCAGCAATACAATTCTTTTCTGCTGTGATGTCGCCAATGGTCATGGCCTGTTAGCCGCTCACTAATATCACTCGATAAAACCACCAATCAGAATATCTATTTCTATGATCTTGTCCCTAAGCTAACTGATGATGTCAACAAGAACCAGTAAACTTTGAGTCAATGTTCGGTTCTGATTGTTACTCTATTCAGTAGCTTTCTTTCATGTGCTGCTCGTTAAGTTCGGAACATTACGAATTACAAGCCTATATAGTTCAGATTTGACAGTTTTCTCTCTAATATTAACTTCTGCGCAACACTCCGTTGCATACTACTTATAAGTTACATTTCCACCTGTTAATTACCTGTCTTCATCGCAAATAACAAAACTTTTAGCCATCAACTGATCAGTGTACAGTATAACTGCAGTTCATTATCGATTAAGTTTATTTTCACTGATTATAGCAGTACCTTGTAAATGATGAAGTTGTATTACCACTTAATCGTATCCCCAAATCAGTCAGTCAGTCAGGATTTGATTTTGAACAATTTGGTCTCGTGTGGTGTTACGGGTATGAGGGCGGTTATCACTTCGCGTCTGCCCACACCGTGGAAGGTTGTTTCTTGAGGGACCTGAAAAGGAAGATAGATTAGTGTTGGTCTTGGAGACCTGGGAGCGTGACCGCAGAGCCCAAGGGACAACTGCTTGAGGCCGGTCGCGCACGGCCTTTTTATGAAAGGTTTTTTGAGTATTAGCTCCTCTCTTTTTAAAGCCCTTAGTGGGCACCCTTACTGCCCGAGACGGAAATCCGTGAGGTAGGGTGAGGTGTGACATTTTTAGGGTCGACCTTTTCTTACCCTTCCTTCCTTGTGAGAAGGCAGCAGCATCGCTGCAGATGCTGGTTTTCCGAGGGAAACACCTTACTGCTGTCACACCCCTCTACAGTGAGCAGTACGACTTCGCCCTCAGACCTTGAGTAGCTACTTTTAGTCTCATCGTTCTCCAATTGACCTGCCTGGCATGATAGAACGTTAAGGAACATAAGTTCCAGCCAATATATCTCGGTTGGGTCATGACGATAGGCAAGCTCGACCACCACCACATCAAGGTAGCAGCTTCGATCGGGGTATCCCCAAATAGGTAACTATCAGTGAAGAAACGTTCAGGATGTAATTTTTCAAAGTTTTACATATATTCTGTATGACATACAGCTTTGTGTCTGTTTGTTAAACATTGCATTTCTCTGCATATATAACAAACTAACCATTACTAATACTTATTCTCGTGTTTTTTTTTTAATCCATGTAGGATTGTCTATTGAACAATATCAGTTTAGTTTTAATGAATAACAGTGGCGGTAGTTTGAATCATCTTCATTCTTATATAACAAATACTACTACTGGTAGTGGTGATGGCCCTATGTCAACTTTAACCTTTATCCCTAATCTAATCAATCTTGTCGGTGGAACTATACATAGTGGCAGTTCTGCAGCGAATATGCCTACTTTATTAAGTTCAAATAACATTGGTTCATCTGCATCAGCTACATCGTCTGGTAGTACTGCAAATTCCACCAATACAAGTAGTACTTTTCCATTAGCTACAGCGACACGTTTTGTTTTTGGCCCATCAACAAAAACTCATCATGCTAAACAAGCGAATTCTACAGGATTCAATGTTACTGGATCAGAATTTGCTCATGTAGCGATTCCTGGTGGATTTTCAGCTTCTGGCGAATTGTCTACCGATGTAGCAGTTGTAGCTTTAGCGTTGAAAACTTTAGGAAGTTTTAATTTTGATGGTAAATTGAATATTATTTTAGCATTGGTTATTTCTTGTATCAATGTGGTTAATATTAATGTTAATCCTTTCCTAATTAATTACTTACGACTGTTACTACCCCCAATGGGGTAGTAACTGGAATCTGGTTTGTTCTATGCCATAGTAGGTTGTTACTGATAGTGTCAGACCAACGAATCTGAAGTATTTTACGTAGACAATTATTAATAAATACTTATATCTTGTAGATAATGGCTTTCGTAGTTCTCCAAGTTTCAGCTTGTTATAATGCTGCTACGTATAGCTATTCAGTCCTAGCGGCGTCCAATTCAAATATCCCAATACTACCCATAATGCTATTTCCAAATCTCCTATATATCAGAACGCAACACCGTGGAATGGAGTTGTTTATTGGGTCGAGTACAGTAGACAAGAAGGCAAGAAGGAACGGAATCCAAAGCTTTACAGATACTGCGTATTTATACATTAAGGTCGAATAGGAAAGAGCATCAAAGTCTGTGACATTGACAGTTTACGACGACCAATATGAAAGAACGCTTGAAACGACATTGACAGTCCGGATGACCAATAAGAGACAACATTGAAGTATTTGACTTTGCCAGTTAAAACGACCATAATTTTGACCAATAGAAATCGACCAATAGGATTATATTTCCAAAATAGTACTCTTAGGATATTTGATGAATATCCTAACACCGCTCCATACAGAGAAAATGTCTTGATATTTGTATTTAAACTTTTGACTTTCGTGTTCTCGGCTCTCTGAGCTAAGATCATTGTGTAAACCCCCAAGGTCAATGAAAATTGAGGCCCATACAATCGTTATCACACTAGTATCATGTGATGATTCCCTTCTGTAGACAAAACTACGGAATTTTCAGAAAAGTTAATCACACTTAGCCTTTGTCATGTAGATAAAGTCATTCAGTCAGTTTTTGAAACGTTAAATCCTCCAGAACTTGCTTCATAAATGACTTTATTTTGGATTTTATTCTTGGGCTGATCAGTTGACCTTGAGATCACATTTCTCACGAAGAAAATCCTTGGATGTGATTGGCTACTGTGCTATTTTTGTGACTCTCCCAAGGGTGTTTCTATGATGTATAAATAAACGCCATTTGTGTGTTAGAGATCATTGTATTTGCTGGATGCTTGCAGAATACACTTTCTACGCCATACCAAGATATCTTGATATAGTTAGTGGGGCCGGAGACAATGGTTTAGAATAGCCTACTGTGTCATTGGTTCATTGTCTTGTTCTCGTTTATCGAACTCGTAATAGTTTCAAGCATATTACGTGACGAGCATAACAGTCAGCAACAACATTGAACTTCGTACGTACGTACATCAGTTCAAATTGACATATCACGGTAACACAGTTGTCTATTCTAATTCTCTAATAGGCAGATGTAGTAGAAGTATTAGGGGTAATGGAGAAGATTAGCATTCGAAGGGGTTATTCAAGAATTATAATCTAGTTAAATAAACTTAAAAAGAGAAAGATAAAGGTGATGAAGAATTCATAAGATTAGAATTTCAGAGAAAATAATGCTTGAATACCCTAGCGCCATTATAAACGATTTCGAGTCATGTCATTCATGGTCCCTAACCATCGGTTTTTGTCATCTTGTGGACTTTCCAACCTGGTGGTCTACACCTACTAATATGGCTCAGTCCAGTTTTCAGGTGATTTCATTGGGACAGTCGATTGTTGGGCATGCGTAACATACGTACCAATGCAGATAAATGCTCAAGTAATAGTTGAATACTCCGTTGGTTATTTCCACAGATTAATGATTGTTGATTTTCATCGACTTCTTGTCTATTCATACTCAAAGCCTTAATTTACTTGACTCATAGGTCATACTTTGGCACATTTTGTTCGACATATATGTGAAAATTTTATATCTGTGAGTACATGTGAAGTGAAAGAAATTCGTTTAGAAGCTGTTAAAACTTGTGCTCATCTAATGATTCCTTGGCTTAAGGTTAGTTTACTCTTTGTAATTTCATAAATAGTCTTTTCTGGTTAATTTTTTTATTATTTAGCAAGTTCGCTTTCTATGTAATGAGTTCGTCAACCTCACGCCCAACCCTCCTCTTTTATCCAAGATTAGGACCGGTAGTAACCCCAGAGGGGCTACAGGCAGAGTTATGAAATACTATAGAAATATTTAACCTTTAAGCATCAACTGACATGGTAATGTGTTGATAGACTGTTACGCCTGCACGTAAACACGTTATTTTGATGTAGTTAAATTATTACGAGTTTACCTAGTCGAAAAACGAGAGCGAGGATCCAGTGACACGACATACTACTCAAATCCAATTATCCCAACCCCCATATTGAGTGAAAAAGAAGAAGACTTGAATGTGGAGTAGAACCTGTATTCTACAAGCATGCAGAAAGTACTAGGTCCGAATCCAGAAGGGAATCAGGATCCCGGACTAGGGATACGGGAACGGGCCCTGGTCCTGGTCATAAAACGTTACAGATAATGCATATTTATACATTTTAGTCGAATAGGAAACAGCATCGAAGTGTGTGACATTGACAGTTAAGTCAACCAATAGGAAGCGACATTTGAAGTGACATTGATAGTCTGGACAACCAATAAGAAACAAGAATGGAGCACGTGACCTTGACATCTAGGACGACGATAAAATTGACCAGTAGGAATTGGCCGATAATTCTCTTGGATATTGGATGAATATCCTAACATAGACTGGGATAAAAACACTTTTTTCAGTTAAATATATGATAAGTCAGAAAAAAACTACAATTCGTCACCGAACTTGTACTGGATTAGAATGTAAATAGCCAAGAATTTATTCACTTTGAATAATGTTATGTAAACCTCAGTCGTCAAGAAAGCAGATTCAAAATATTTTGATAACCAATAGAAAATTACCAGAAGTCAATGGATATGGAAAATTTCTGAATTAATTGTTGGTCAATTTACGACATCTAATCAACTTTATCTTGGCCAAGAAAAATTAACTTTTTGATACAAAGTAGTGGGGAGATTTCGGAATCAGTAGATCTTTTAATGTCAATAAGAAAAAGTTCTATCAGTGATAATCATCATTTTACATTGAAATTATGAATGAATCATTTTGAGCTGATGAGTCTCATATCAGGACGAAACAGCTATCCAGTGCTTCCAGGTTCATTAATGATTGCAATGTAAAACAACGATCTGCAAAATCAAAAAATCTGCTCACTAGTGACTACTAGCTTCGTGAAGAAACTCTCGAGATTCTATTGAGAAGACGTGACCACTAGAGTCCAACCGTGTTCGGGTGTTAGCGGTTACATACCGAAGACAATGGTGAGTGAGGTTGTGGGAAATCCTTAGAGTAATCAGAGTTAAGCATTAATACGGTTGGATGCCAGCTCAGTGGTCCAGAAGTTAAGCGTTGGCGCGCACGACCTAATATCCTGGGTTCGAATCTTGCAGTTAGCAGGAGTTGTGGATGTGCACTGCCACTGATGAGTCCCATATCAGGACGAAACAGTCGTCCAGTGCTTCCTGGTTTCTAATGATGATGTAATCATGATTCATTCATGATTTCCATGTGTAGAAATAACGATCTCCATCGCTCTACGATGCGTAACCATCATTATCTACCTACCTCAACGTTATATTTTCGTTAGTCCTAATATAACATCAGAAAAATTGATTCCTAATAACTAGACGACGATATTGATTCACGAAGTCTGTTCCCCTTTGTGCTTTCCAGTTAGAGTGTGTATTATTAGCATCTATTTTTATCCATGTACTTGTACTTTAAACTATATGTCTCTTTCTTGTTACTAGTCTACTGAAACACAACAATGGTATGCTCGACCAGCTTTGAATACAGTTGCTGATGTTTTAAATAAACTATTGACTGTTGGAATAAGTGATCCTGGTAAGTTCTTTTAATTTTTTAATCTTTACTGTGATTAAATTTGGCTCAAAATCGTTCGCGATGGCATTTATGCATTTATGCTTTCTGTTCTCTCAAATCCTAATCTTCTGGGTTCTTCAACAACTCTACTTTTGACTTTTTAAACTTTTCTCACTGAATCATACTTCTTGAATAATATCTTCTAATCCTAACCTCTCCGATTACTTCTAATACCTTTACTACCTCTTCTACTATTGGATATGAATTGACAGTGGCGTCCCAGTGCTGATGTGGTATGGCGACATGAACTGATGTACTTACGTACGAAGTTCTACGTTGCATCTGACTCTGACTCTGAAATTTGTGTAGTACTTGTGTAAAAACTAACTAAATAATTCCAAAAGATCTAAGAAACTGAGAAACATTTAACACTAGATCGCAGTTAGACATTAACACCGTTAGATACCGTCCACTATTTAGGCGTTCGTGCGCAAGACCGAAGGTCCTGGGTTCGAATCCTGCAAGGCGCAGGAGTCGTGGATACGTACTGCTGATGAGTCCCATGCCAGGACGAAAAGGCCGTCTTTCAGTGCTTCCAGGTTTCTAATGGTGGTCTAACATTGACCGATTCATGATTTCAAATGTGTAACTTATATACCAATTAGAAATCATGAATCAGTCATTGTTAGACAATCATTGGAAACCTGGGAACACTTAAAGATGGCCATTTCGTCCTGGTTTGGGGACTACTCATCGAAGGCAGTGCGCATCCACGATTCCTGCTACTACTGGTCGGATTCGAACCCAGGATGTTCGGTCTTGCGCACGAACGCCTAACCTCTGGATCACTGAGCCGGCATCCTCTGTGTTAATGTCCCATACCAGGACGAAACACCCGTCTTTGAATGCTTCCAGGTTTCTAATAGTGTGGAGTCTAACAATGAAGGATTCATGATTTCTATGTGTTGAAAACACTGATCTCTATAACTCGAATTGAAAAAATTTTATATCAGTAAAATGCATCACTGTGTTAATCTACTAGCCTATTCTCGAATTTCCACAATCAATAGCCTTGGTTTACTATAAAATTGAATGTAACTACTGCTCTGAATAATTTCACTTGTCTACCATTACTGCTTCATATCGTTGTTGATTTTAATGTCTTGTTCAAATTTGTATGCATTACCCTTATCTATGGTCATATGTTATTGTAGCAGCCAGTTTTACATCTCAAATAAAACAAACATCTGTCCTGTTTTTTAAAAATCATGAATCGATCAATGTTAAGCCACTGTTCGAAACCTGGAATCACTGAAAGACGGCCGCTTCGTTCTGTTATGGGACTGCTCATCAGTAGCTGTGCGCATCCACAACTCCTACAATTCGCAGGATTCGAACCCGGGGATTTGAATTGACAATTACGTCTCTGTGCTAATCCGATATGACAACTTGGACTGATTGATGTACGAACGACATTCTACGTTGTAACTGAATGACTAACTGTCAGACAGTTCATGTTACTTAGTGTCTTACTGTTGTAACGTTTGCTTAGATAATTCCCAGCAAAATCCTATTGCTTAGTATTTTCTGACCACAATACACTGGACAAGTTCCCAAGAATCAAAAACACGGTTGAACAGGAAAAGATTATATTCCAAATAGCAAGGTTAAATGGAATAAGAAGCCAAGGGTGATGGAGAAGGCGAAGGCAAAACTAGATACAACGTTAGTTTATTTATAGCATTTACATGAGAAGCTTCTGGATAGAAATTCACGTGATCGACTGGATTAGATTTAGCCAATCAGCACGCAGCTAACAATACCCTGTTCTTTAAGAATCGATCAGGCGCTGATTGGATAGGAAATTAGCCAATCAGCACGTAGCAACTTAGTCATGCTTTAATTCCATCTATGTTCCACTAATACCTCTCCTTTGAGAAGATTCGTGGGATCTCGTGCTAGAGTCCAACTGCTTCCCCGGTGCCTTGCCACCCGTACTCTTACGAGCCGCCTGCTTTGTTGGAGCCATGTCTGTGAACAACCGTCGATTGGGCTGCTTCCCCATCAATAAGTTTTGTTGAGGCTCATGAACAGCATATGGTATAGGGCGTCTCGGACGTGAAACAGGTTTGACATCTGATTTCGCTGGTAGGTGAGCTTTCATATCCGTACAGCGGCCAAGGCTATTCTGAAAAAGAGAGCCTGACTTCCTCTTCCGTTTATCTTGTAACCTTTCACCTGTCTTCTTTATAATCATCGAGGTGTCCAATGATGAACACAACACGCTGCAGACACTGTTAATGGGTAAATACATTATTCCCAGTTTTTCTAGCATATCTAGACCAAGAAGATCAAGGTTTGGCCGTTCTGTCAGATAGCATATCCCTGTACATTTTTGTTCCGTTGAAAGAAAATTCACACTGTATCTCACCAACTAGTTTTAACACACCACCTGAAGCGCTTTTAGCTGTTTTCTTAGATGGCTTCATTGGGAGTTTTCCCAGCAAGTTATACGCTTCTCTAGACATTAAGGTGATATCAGATGCCGTGTCGATTTGAAAACAAGCTGATGCACCGTTCATCTGAATAGTAACATGCTTTCTCCGAACGTCATAGTCTATTTGAAAAGAAGCTACCAGAGAAAGTGATTTAGACTCGGCTAATTTCACCACATGCTTCTTCCTGGGCTGAGGCGTACGATTTGGTTGACAATGGCCATGTTTGTTGCATATCTGACATTTATGTTTTTTAAATGGACAAAATCGTACGTAATGCCAATCACCACATAAACAACACTTAATGAATCTTTTATGCGTTTACAAATAAAAATTATTTTGTGTATATTCATTTTAATCTGATCATATTTTTTTTTATCTTCAAAATCATTTTTAGATCCTGATGTTCGACGTTGTGTATTCTTATCGTTTGATCAACGTTTCGATTTACATTTAGCTCAATCGGATCATTTAAATTATTTATTCTTAGCTTTATATGATGAAGTATTTGATATACGTTGTTTAGTAATGCAACGTTTAGGTCGTTTATCGGATATTAATCCTGCATGTGTTCAACCAAATCTACGAAAAGTTTTATTACATGTAAGTTGTGTTTGGATTTTGGGTGTTTGTTTTTTAAAATTTTTTCAGTAGTCGTCATAGGCCGCCGACTAGTACTCTCCAACCTACTTTGTTCTGGGCACCACTTTCCAGTTCTGACAATTTTTGTTCATTCTTCCAATTCTCGGAGTAATGTGTTCCATGGTCTTCCTTCTCCTCTTTGACCTTGAGGGTTGTAAGTGAGGGTTTGTTTCGTGACGCAGTTGGATGCTTTCCGCAGTGTGTGTTCTATCCACTTCCAGCGATTCTTCCTGATTTTTTCCTCCAATGGTTTGTTCTATTCCGAAACTGGCGTCACTTATGGCTATGAAAAAGTGCCAGCAAGAGAGTGTGATGTTCGTAGGCTTTTAGCATTCGATCACCGGTGCATTGCTCGAATATCATCGGTCAACCGGGTAAGCATTGGTGTTGTTGCAATAGTGAGTCTTCATAAGTTGAGATGGTTGGGACATGTGTTACACATACCCAACCACCAACTGCCTCGTTGAGCGATGTTTTGTGATGTAGTAGTAAGATGGAAAAAAGCTAGAGGCAGCCCAACCAGAACACGTACCAAATCCATGAAGTCACTGACTATCGAAAAGACCTTAGATTGATCACAAACATTAACACAGTTCGATGCTGGCTCAGTGGTCTAAAAATTAAGCTTTCGAGTACGAGACCGAACTTCCTAGGTTTGATCCGTGCTTACGGGTGTCGTGCATGCGCACCAGTAATAAGTCCCATACTAAAAACAATCGGGGTCTAACAATCATCGATTCTTGATTTCAATGAAAAATCTGTCTTAAACTGACACAACTGTTTTATACAACTTTTCATAAAACTTACACTGCCTTGTAATCTTTCAATTGTAAATATAGCACCTACATTGATCCATAATACTGTTATTTTGCAAATGGTTCATTTGTATAAGTGTTACACATGCACGTAAACACGTCATTTGATATGCCTGAACTATTACGAGTTTACCTTAGTCGGGAAATGAGAGCGAGGATCGAGGATCCTGCGGCACGACAGGCTACTCTAATCCAATTATCTCAACCCCCATATTGAGTAAAAATAAGAAGACTTGATATGAAGTAGAACATGTATTCTACAAGCATCAAGAATATACGCGGTCGGAATCCAGAAGAAAACCAGGATCTCGGACTAGGGATCCAGGTCTGGGTCCGGGTCATAAAACGTTACAGATAATGCGTAATTTATACAGTTAGATCGAATAGGAACCAACATTGAAGCACGTGACATTGATAGCTAGAAGGACCACAATATTGACCAGTAGAACTAGACTTACAAATAATTCTCTTAGGATATTGGATCAATATCCTAACAATAAGTTGAAAAGAAAATCTAAACAGTTGTAAATCGGTCCAAATTAATAATTTTTTTTCTTGCTAAACCAAAACATTCAAACAAACATTCAACTTCTTTCGCTGCTTAATTTATATCACTTGTAATTTCAAACAAGTTTTTTTTTGAAACTTCTATTGCTAATCAGTGTTCAATGTTCAATGTCAAATGTTTGCTTGTTTTAATGTATCAATTTTCTTTCTCATCCCGCCTTTTTTTCTCCCCCCTCCTATAGACTTTAAATGATTTATCACATAGTGGATCAACTCGTAATAAAGAACAAGCTGCTTTATTATTAGCTTGTTTAATTGCTACAGCACCCCGGTTTTTTATTCCTTATTCAGAACCATTGATACATATTTTATTACCACGTATAAGACAATCATTACCAGCTACATTACGTGCTACATTAACAGTGACAGGTTTTTCACGGCTACAACATTTCAATGTTACACAGAATAAAGGTAATCATATTGACATTTACCAGTAGTAGTAATAGTAGTAGTATTTTTGACATTTTTTCGAATAATTTACTTACGCATCTACATACTTAGTTACTTACTTACTCACTCACTCACTTACTTACCCACTGTTACGCCTGCACGTAAACACATCAACTTCATATACTTGAACTATTACGAGTTTACCTAGTCGGAAACGTGAGAGCGAAGATCGAGGATCCGGTGACACGACATGCTACTCAAATCCGATTATCCCAACCCCCATATTTAGTAAAATAAGAAGAGATGATATGAAATAGAACGCGTATTCTACAGGCATCCTTAAAGTACGAGGTCCGAATCCAGCGGAGAATCGGGATCCGGGACCAAGCCCTGGTCCTGGTCGTGGTCATAAAATGTTACAGATAATGCGTATTTATACATTTTGGTCGAATAGGAAACAACATCTAAGTCTGTGGCATTGGCAGTTAAGGCGACTAATAGGAAGCAACATTTGAAATGATATTGACAGTCCGGATGACCAATAAGAGACAACATTGAAGTATTTGACTTTAACAGTTAAAACGACCATAATTTTGACCAATAGAAATCGACCAATAGGATTTGACCAATAATTCTCTTAGGATATTTGATGAATATCCTAACACCCACCTACTTACTTACTTAATTATTTACTTATTTGCCCCTGTTATCCTCTAATCAAGCATAGGCCATTGACCATCAGTTTCTGGTTTGCGTTTTTTGTTGTTTTAGTGAGTTTAAATTCTGCAGGATGAGGTCGCTAACCCCTCCTCTACTTAACCATCCTCCGGTCTTCTTGGACTTGGCAATAACCCCCCAGATAGGCTCCAAGGCTGGGTTGATAAAAATAAAATGATTTTAAAACTTATTTATGTTTACCGTTAGGATATTCTGTCAGTATCCTAAAAGAATTATTTTTGTAAGTCTAGATCTATTGGTCTATTGGTTGATTCTTATTGGTGGTCTGTTGGGGATGTTAGATCCCCAAAACTCGCTTGATAAATGCTTTATTTTGGATTTCACGTTTGCCAGCATGGGCTGATCAGTTGACCTTGAAATCACATTTCCCAACGGGACAAGCCTTGTCTGTGATTGGTTACTGTGTATTTTAGTGTGCTATTTTTGTGACTGTCCAACGCACGTTTCTATGTTGTATAAATAAACGAGAGTTGTATGCTTGATTGTACTGCGATTGCTGGGTTTTTGTAGAATATACTTTCTATGCTTACAAAGCCTTTTATCTTCAGCTTGGGATTCAAGGTAGCCTACCTTGTCTCGTTCGCGTTTATCGACTAAGGCGAACTCGTAGTAGCTTCAAGCGTACCTACTGACAAACCCTACATGATCTTAACTATCAATGTCACGTGCTTCAATGTTGTTTCCTATTCAGCCTAACTGTATAAATATGCATTATCCGGACCTGGATACTTAGTCCGGGATCCTTATCCTCTTCTTGACTCAGACCTCGTAGTTTCTGGATGATTGTAGAATACACGTTCTACTTCTGATAAGTTCGGCACTTAGTATGCTTGAGGCTATTACGAGTTTACCTTAGTCGATAAACGCGAACGAGACTTTTACCAGCTTCCAGGAAGGCTACCCTGAATCCCAGAATCGAAATAGAAGACCTTGTAGGCGTAGAAGTATATTCTAAAAGCACCCAGCAATCCCAGTACAACCAAGCATACGACTCTCGTTTATTTATACAACATAACAACGTCCTTGAGACAGTTAAGAAAATAGCATACTAAAATACACTGCAGCCAATCACAGCCATTGATTTTGCTGGTGGGAATTGAAATCTCAAGGTCATCTGATCAGCCCATGCTGGCGAAACGTGAAAACCAAAATACGGCATTATCAAGCGAATTTTGGGGATCTAACATCCCCAACACTCCTCCCCTTTTTAATAGCTTGTTCTCCTGGGGTCGACTTGCATCTTGACTATTGTTCGCCGCTGTCTGAGGGGATACCTTCGGGAACGAAGAACAGCTTGCTGCTGAGTTTCTTCTCGTGGCGGGGCTCTCGGTAGGTTGAAGGTATCAAGTAAGATGTCAAGGGGAAGGCTTTCTGCTCTTGATGGGCGATCTGGGGCTAGCCGTCTGCGTATCTGATTGCGATGACGTGACCATTTATCACCTCCTACCTCTACTTCGTACATAACTCGACCAACCCTTCTGACCACTCCTGCTTCTACCCAAGGACCATGGTTCGTTCTGTAGTCGCGGGCAAACACAGGGCATCCCACCTCGTAAGCGGATTGTCTTTGCTGCTTTGTCTCTACTGATGAGGGTGCATTGGTCGGATGCATCAGGCTGTGAATCGTTTTCAATCTTCTTCCCATCAGGATTTCAGCTGGGGACTTTTGCTCCGGTAACAATTCATTTGGTGTTGTCCGATAGACGTACAAGAAATTTTGTAACGTTTCGGCTGGCGTCCCCTCCCCTTTTGACTTGAGCAGTGCTCTTTTAAACGTATCCACAAACCTTTCCGCCTGCCCATTCGATTGCGGGTGGTATGGTGGCGAGCGTAAGTGTTTAATAGCTAGCCGTTGACAGAAATTCTGGAATTGGGAAGAGGTGAATTGAGAGCCATTGTCGGATACGATCACATCTGGTATGCCATTTCGTGAGAAAATTTCAGTTAGGAGCTGTATAGTCTTAGTTGTAGTGGGCGGCATAACGGGGCTGATTTCCGGCCATTTAGAAAAGGCGTCGACGACAATTAAATACATAGTTCCATTTATTGGGCCAGCGAAGTCGACATGTATCCTGGACTAAGGATGCTCAGGTTTGGGCCATGAAACCGGCGGAATTTTGGCATTCATCTTTGCCGCCTGCTGACACCGGATGCATTTTTCAACCAACGCTGTGACATGTTGATCCATGTGAGGCCAGTATGCATAACTCCTGGCTATGGACTTCATTCGTTTAATCCCAGGATGACCAAGATGGAACTGTCTCAGCACTTTTGCACGAAGGGATTCTGGCACCACTACTCTTTCACCAAACATCAGACAATCGTTGACGATGCATAGTGACTCCCGCCGCTGATACAGTTGCTTGATGTCACCTTCAAACTTTTTCGACGGCCAACCGTTAGTGACATATTTCATCGTCATCTTGATGATGGGGTCGTTTCTAGAAGCATTTTGTATGTCTGTTGCAGACACCGGTAATGCACGAACTGCGGTTGTCAGATAACATTCTGCGTGGTCTTCTGGGTCATGTCGTTGTGATACCAGGCTGCATATGGTATTTAGCGGGACATCAGCCAATTTTAGCTGGTCGAACCAATCTAAACCAAGTAAATTTAGATCAGCTGGCGTTATATAGCATACCCCAGTAAACGACGAATCTCGGAAAGCAACTTTACATTCCAATTGTCCTAACAGACGAAGATAATTACCACATGCTGTACGAGGCTTTTGTGTTGTGTGCTGCAGGCTTGGGTTGCCCAATTTGGTCCAATTTTTGCGTGAGAGGATAGTGACATCCGATGCAGTATCTATTTGCATTCTACACAAATAACCGTTAATATTAAGAGTAATAAATTTCCTCTCACCTGGTGTTGAGCTTTGGCAGGAAGATATTAGGCTCAATGCATTGGTACTGGATCTAGGAACAGGCTTCTTAGCACTTCTGGATCGCTTTGGCTTTTTCTGTAGGCAAAAGCCATCTTTATGACCGATGACTTTACACTTCCTGCATCTATGCTGCCTAAATGGGCAGTTCCGTACATAGTGCCATGAACCGCAGTGCCAGCAAGCAGAAGGTGGATTCATTTTGGGTTTTTGGGCCGAATTGGAATTTTTCTTTTCACTAATGGAATGCACGTATGATGAGAGGCCCTTGTTTTCGACCATGGAGGTATCATGCTTCAAGTTTACTAATCTCTGGCACTCTGCAGTTATTTCTTGAAGCGAGATGTTTGGGCACTGTTCAATTTTACTTAGGATTCTGGTTCTTATATCAGCATCGTCGGGAGATTGTAAGCTGCACACAAACACAAGGCACTTAAACTGATCTTCCGTCATTGATGATAATTTAAATCGTTCGCATTCACGATTTACTAAGCCAGCATGCTTTACCCAGTCATCTTCATTGGACTTGATTATTTTGAGGCATTGATAACGAATATTAAAGAGAGATGACTGTTCAGAGAAGATTTGCGACAGCGTATCAATTGTAGCATCAAAAGAGAAATCTCGTGGGTTCTTTGGGAGGATGAAATTACTATAACGTTCGTGTTCGATTGTGCCGAGCTTTCTCAAAAGGATTCTGACTTTGGTGGCGTCATCAAGATTGTTGAGGTCGACCTTGAACAAATCCTCATACTTCTTAAACCAAGACTCGAAAGTCACACCAGCAAGGCCATCAAATTGAAATTCATGAATGGAATTAACTATCGAGTCTGTATGCGGATTATATGAATCATCGGCAAAACCTCTGTGATTCAAATTCATTTGTTTCATTAACAGCTCCAACATACGTTCCTGGAACTGTTCATATCGTTTTCCTTGACGTTCCAGTAAAGATTCTAACTGTTCAAGATTAATTGACATTGTGAATTGTGAGCCCCGTCGCCACTAATAAGTTCGGCACTTAGTATGCTTGAGGCTATTACGAGTTTACCTTAGTCGATAAACGCGAACGAGACTTTTACCAGCTTCCAGGAAGGCTACCCTGAATCCCAGAATCGAAATAGAAGACCTTGTAGGCGTAGAAGTATATTCTAAAAGCACCCAGCAATCCCAGTGCAATCAAGCATACAACTCTCGTTTATTTATACAACATAACAACGTCCTTGAGACAGTTAAGCAAATAGCATACTAAAATACACTGCAGCCAATCACAGCCATTGATTTTGCTGGTGGGAATTGAAATCTCAAGGTCATCTGATCAGCCCATGCTGGCGAAACGTGAAACCAAAATACGGCATTATCAAGCGAATTTTGGGGATCTAACATCCCCAACAACTTCATATCAAATCTTCTTCTTCTTTTACTCAATAGGGGTTTTGGACCCTCGGATTAGAGTAGCCTATCGTGTCGCCAGATCATCGATCCTCGCTCTCGTTTTCCGATTAACGTAAACTCGTACTAGTTCAAGTATATCAAAATGACGTGTCTACATGCATGCGTAGCACTTACACTGGTGGAATTCCCTTTATATAGAAATTTATCTGTTTAGCTATATAGTAGTTTCGCTTCTGTAGTTCTTATCGTCTCCTGCTTACTATTTATTTGCTTTTATGCCATTATTGTTATTCACAGAATTAGATTCTTCTTCCTCCTCATCATCATCCTCATCACTTTTTCCTAATGAACGTCTACCAGCCAGTACACAATTAATACAAAATGTCATATTAACTACACAAATCGCCGCAAATGCCGCTGCAGCTTCAGCAAATGCAGTTGCAGCTGCTGCAGCTGCTGCCGCGGCAGCAGCATCCGGTGGTGTCAACGGTTTACATTTTCCTTTTACCACTACTGTATCACAACGTTTTGGCGGCGGCGGTACACAACGTAGTTCTAACAATCCGATTGGTACAAATCAAATTGGCCCAGCGTTGGCTGCTGCAAATGCGGTAGCTATGGCTACAGGAGCAGCGACAGCAGCTGCAGCCGCAGCTGGTGCAGTGATGGCTGCAACTGGTCAATGTACATCCAATGGTGTCACAGGAGGCGGTGGAATATTTAATTGTGATTCGAGGAATCTGTTTGGTAATGGTTTAGTGCCAAATTATGGATTTAAATCTGATGTACCAATGGTAAGTCATATTTTTTACCCCGGTGTTTTAAAAAAATATTGACAATGTTACTTGTACTCTTGAAATACCGTTTTTGTTAGTATATTAATCCGAATATCCTAAGAGAATTATTGGTCAATTCCTATTGGTCAATTTTATGATCGTCCTAGATATCAATGTGTCACTCACTCCAATGTTGGTTTCTTATTGGTTGTCTAGACTATCAATGGCACTTTAAATCTTACTTCCTATTGGTCGTCTTAACTGTCAGTGTCAGGGACTTCGATACTGTTTCCTATTTGACCAAAATGTATAAATATGCATTATGTGTAACGTTTTGGGACCAGGACCCGTTCCCGGATCCATAGTCAGGGATCCTGATTCTCTTCTGGATTCGGACTTCGTACTTTCTGGATGCTTATACAATATAGGTTCTACTTCATATCAAGTCTTCTTATTTTTACTTAATATGGGGGTTGGGATAATCGGATGTGAGTAGCATGTGTCGTGTCGTCGGATCCTCTATCCTCACTCTCGTTTTCCGACTAATGTAAACTCGTAATAATAATTCAAGTATATGAAGTTGACGTGTTTACGTGCAGGCGTAACGGTGCATTTTTTGCTTTTACTTTTTCAATCATCAATATTTAGCATGATCTAACAGCGGTTGTTGAACGTTTTGGCAATTTAAATTTTGATTATAATCGTGATAATTATTATTTGAATACGGAATTTCCTCCCGGTGCATATCCACCATCTGCATATCTACTACAATCGACACCATTATTATTTGATTCATCCCATATGGTTGGAGATCAATACTCTGGTAGAAATTTATCATGGTCAGAATATAATTTGTCAAGATTAAATGAAACCTCGTCATCTGGTACTGCAGCTGCTGCAGCTCAATGGACTGAACCGACACCTGTGATTGTTGCGCTATTTACAACATTAGGACGATTAGCCGCTGTAGCACCTCATTCAATTTATCATTATATGGATGAATTTATACCGATTCTTGCGTATATGATGCAAGATACATCATGTTTTTTAAAACGATCTGTAAGTTGCATCAGTACTGTTGTTGTTCATATCAAATAATAATTGATTGATTAGTTACGTATGCCCAACTAACGACTGCCTCGATGAGCTTATACGTATTGTGGTGTAGGAGTTAGTAGGTTGGAAAAAAACTTAAGGGCTGTCAAACCGAAACATGGCAGAAATCTCAGAAGTCACTGACAAGTGGACTGAGTCATGTTGGTAGATGTAGGCCCACCTGGTTGGGTTCTGCGAGATGATAGTAACCGATGGTTAGAGACTTTGAATGACATGACTCAAAATCGCTTGTAATGGCGCAGTTGCATTCATTCATTTTGTGTTCTTTCAAATGCTAACCTTCTGAATTCTTCATCATCTCTATCTTACACTTTCTAAAGTTGTCTCACTGAATAATACTTCTTGAATTATATCTTCGAACTATAATCTTCTCCATTACTGCTAATACTTCTACTATCACTATCACTATGGGGATTTGAATTGACACTTGCTTCTCTGTGCTGATGCGGTATGGCAATCTAAACTTATTGTTATAACGCTCTCTTCATAATTCTCAGCTATTCTTATTGCTTATAGTATTCTCTGACAACAATACGCTCGGCAAGTTCCCGAAATCAGAACACGGTGGAACAGGAAATAGATATTATATTCCAAATAACAAGGTAAAATGGAAGGAAGTAAGTAGCGGAAGTGAAGGTGAGATTGAAACAAATTTAGTATCTTTATAGTTTTTACATGTGAGAAGGTTCTCGAATCTAACCCATTTAATCAACGATCGCTGACCGGATTAGATTTAGCCAATCAGTAGTGTACAGTTAACGCAGACATGCTTTATTTCATTAATGTCCCACTAACAATTTTGTACTCATGTATGAAGCTTCTACCTTGTAACTGACTGACTAACTAAATCAATCTTTTTTTTTCATAAAGTAGTAAAATTTTTCAATTTGTCTCATGTATGGCACTTAAAACTGTCAATACAAATAATTACGTAATATATATGAGGATGTATCACAGAAAAGTGCTCGTCTAATATTATTGTTTGCGAAAAAGTGATTCATAACTTATTTTATTCATTGAACACATTTAACACAAACGTTTAAATAATCGGTTACAGTAGTTGAGAACCAGTATTGTTTCCTTAGTACGAAAGGATTTGATTTCGACCAAATTGGTCTCTCGTGCTGTTACGGGTATGAGGGCGGTTGTCATTTCCCGGCTGCCCAAACCGTGGAAGGTTGTTTCTTGAGGAACCTGAAAAGGAAGATAGATTAGTGTTGGTCTTGGAGACGTGGGAGCGTGACCGCAGAGTCCGAGGGACAACTGCTTGAGGCCGGTCACGCACGGCCTTTTTATGAAAGGTATTTTGAGGATTAGCTCCGTTCTTAAAGGCCCTTAGTGGGCCTTCCGACGGATATGGAAATCCATGAGGTAGGGTGATTTGTGACATTTTTAGGGTCGACCTTTTCTAACCCTTCCCTTCCTTGTGAGAAGGCAGCATCATTGCACACGCTGGTTGTCCGAGGGAAAAACCCTACTGCTGTCACACCTCTCTGTAGTCAGCAGTACGACTTCGCCCTCAGACCTTGAGTAGCTGCTTTTAGTCTCATCGCTCTCCAATTGACCTGCCTGGCATGGTAGGACCTTCAGGAACATATGTTCCAGCCAATATAGCTCTGTTGGGTCATGACGATAGGCAAGCCCAACCACCACGTCACGGTAGCAGCACATCTCTCATCAAACCACATCAGCACATCTCTGTGCTGTTGTAGTGTATAAATACTCACCGAGTAGTCGTGTAACGTAAACATTATGTCATTTCACAATGATTGTAAAATTCTATTGTGTAGCCGGAACAAGAAGAAGGATTGTAATCATCAACGTAATTATTCAAAAAATTCATTTAGCTTTGACGAAAGGTCAGTATTTTAGTGGTTATATAAGACGCATAATGAATCAATCATCGTTAGACCATTATCAAAAACTTAGAAGCACTGGAAAGCCGTTTCAACCTTGTATGGGATTCATCATCAGTGTGCATTGAAAATTCCATTAACTCAAACGAATCGATTCTAGGACCGTCGGTCTTGCGCGCGAACGCCTAACCTCTGAACCACTGAGCCGGCATCGAATCTTGGGAGTTGTGAAAGTCGTGGATGCTCACTGCCACTGATGAGTCCTATGACAGGACGAAACGGCCGTCTAGTACTTCCAGGTTTCTAATGATGGTCTAACATTGATCGATTCATAATTTCAAAAACTTATGTAAGAATCAAGAAATAGATGTTGAGAATGTGTAAATGTACTCAAAGTGAAGAAAAAATTAGTTTTATCGAAATTCTATTAAAAGTCACTGTTAAATGCCGAAGGTCAAAGTAGCGAGTGTGAATGTACAAACTTTTCTTAATTCTACAAATTTTGGGTTTGTAAACATGGATTGTCTGATAGCTGCAGCTTATATGCAAATGACAAACCGCGTCGTGATTTTGGCAGAATATACTGTATTTAACATTAAAGGTTTTATTCAAGTCAATTTGATATATTACCCTGTATTATTGATCAAGCAATCACAAATGAAAAACTTCCCATAATCCTACTTACATGTTATTTGTTTAACCAGGCAGATGAATGCACGTTCTGTTATCATAAAATGTCAGTCAGTTACAACGTAGAACTTCATACGTACGCTTACATCAGTTCAGGTTGCCATACCACGTTATAACAGAGACACATTAGTCAGTTCAAATTCCACAGTGGTGGAGGTAGTAGAAGTATTAGTAGTAATGGAGATGATTGAGGAGCAAAGATATGATTCGAAAATTATAATTCAGTGAGATAAATTTAGAAAGAGAAATATGGAAGTGATAGGGAATTCTGAAGATTAGAATTTAAGAGAACACAAAGAGTGGATGCACCTGCGCCGTTTCGACCGAAGCTGCTACCTTGACGTGGTGGTCGGGCTTGCCTATCGCGATGACCCAACCGAGCTATATTGGCCGGAACTTATGTTCCTGAAGGTTCTACCATGCCAGGCAGGTCGATTGGAGAGCGATGAGACAAAAAGCAGCTACCCAAGGTCTGAGGGCGAATTCGTACTGCTGACTGTAGAAGGGTGTGACAGCAGTAAAATGTTTCCCTCGGACAACCATTATCTGCAGCGATGCTGCCTTCTCACAAGGAAGAAATGGTTAGAAAAGGTCGACCCTAAAAATGTCACACCTCCCCTACCTCACGGATTTCCGTCTCCTTGGGTAAGGGTGCCCACTAAGGGCCTTTAAGAGCGGAGCCAACACTCAAAAAACTTCTCATAAAAAGGCCGTGTGTGATCGGCCTCAAGCAGTTGTCCCTTGGGCTCTGCGGTCACGCACCAACACTAATCTATCTTCCTTTTCAGGTTCCTCAAGAAACAACCTTCCACGGTGTGGGCAGCCGGGAAATGACAACCGCCCTCATACCCGTAACAGCACCTCTACCTTTGACTTTCTAACCTTATCTCACTGAATTTTACTTGTTGAATAATATCTTCGAACCCTAGTCTGCTTCATGACCAATAATACCTCTGCTATCTTTATAACTATGTGATTTGATTTAACATCTGCGTCTCTCTATGCTAATGTGGTATGGCAACCTGAACTTATGTACATACGTACGTGGTTCTACGTTACAACTGACTGACCTGCGCCGTTTGAAACGATTTTGAGCCATGTCATTCAAGGTCTCTAACGATCGATGACTTTCGTCTCGCAGACCCCAACCAAGTAGTCTACACCTATTAACATGACTCAGTCCACTTGGTAGTGACTTCATAGATTTGTGTCATGTTTTGTTTCTGGCCGTCCCTAGCTTTCTTTCAACCTACTCCTACACTACAAAACAAAACTCTTCGAGGCCGTCAGTGGTTGGGCATTCATATCACCGTTATTATACAATGACTTAACTGTTGAAAGAGTACCACATTTTAATTTGTATTGTTTCTGTTTGTTATTGAAAATTTTCTATCATATAGATTGCTGTATGGACATTAACAAAATTAGTTTCCCACACTGGTTATGTTGTTATACCGTATAAACGTTATCCACAATTATTGAATATTCTATTAGGTATGCTAAAACGTGAAGAAATCAAATGTATTCGTCAAGAGGTAAACAAAAATAAAGCATTCAATGTTGAATTGTTTTGTTTATTTAATTTTATTTTGATGGTTTCTTGGTTGGTTTCAATGTATTGTAACGCTTACCTGAATAATTTCCGGCTAATTCCTATTGCTTAGTATTCTCTGACCAAAATATACTGTCGAAACCATTATTCGATCAATGTTAGTCCCCCATTAGAAACCTGGAAGCACTGGACAGCCGTTTCGTCCTGGTATGGGACTCGTCAGTGGCAGTGCCCATCCACGACTCCTGCACCCCACAGGATTCGAACCCAGGACCGTCGGTATTGTGCGCGAACTCCCTAACCGTTAGACCACTGAGCCGATGTTGATATCTAACTTGATCAAATTCACGGAGTTGCGCAACCTCATACACTGTATACATCCGAACAGGTCTGAACTTCACCGGTCACGACTTCGCACTAGAACTCGGAGAAGATTCCTCACCAAGCTAGTCACTAGAGAGCACATGTAATTGCATTGCTGAGTTGTTGTGAAGATTATTAAGTTACATTATCACGGTTGAAAAGGAAAAGATTATATTCCAAATAGCCAAGGTTGAATTGGAAATAAGAAGCCGAATCCGAAGGCGAAAATAGATACAACGTTAGTCTATTTATAGCATTTACATCAGAAGCTTCTGGATAGTATTAATTCACGTGATCGACTCGATTAGATTTAGCCAATCAGCATGCAGCTAACAAACAGTATGAGAATTGCCTACCCTGTTCTCCAAGAAAATCGACCAGGCGCTGATTGGATAGGAAGTTAGCCAATCAGCGCGCAGTTGACGTAGTCATGCTTTAATTCCGTCTATGTCTCGCTAACGCAATGGAATCCTATTCAGTTGTGTGTGAATTTATGTTCTTAAAATACTTTAGTTATGGTTAGATTAGTTGTTGAATAGTCATTCACACCTTTTTTTATCATTCATCTACTACTACATAGTGTTGCATAACCTAACATCTAACCTTGAAAACATGATGTACTGGATGCTTGTCAGTATTTACTGAAGTTGGGATGCGATTCTCCCCATTGAAACGAAAAAAGGTTGCTTCAGGATTCAGTTGCTTCGGCACCTGAATCAATCCATGTTAGGGAGTGAAGTAGTTGGCGTGTTGATTTCTTCACTTTTGTTGACAGTCTCATCAGTGCTAATGGTCTGGTGTGCGACAAAATTTCAGCACGGATACAGAAAGCTCGGTTGGCTTTTGCCAACCTGAGTCATTTATGACGTAGTCGAGATATCCATCTACTAACCAAAGGAAGAGTCTATTACGCATCATTATGCTCTGTCCTACTATACAGATGTGAATCATGGCCAGTAAGAGTAAGAGATATTTGTAGCTTGTTAGTATTCGATCATATGTGTCTCGTATATTGTGGGACCATCTAATAAACAGTGCTGTTGTTAGGAAACGAGTACTCGATGAGGATTTTAGATCAATAGATGAAGTGGTGAATGTTCATCAGTTGAGATGGTTGAGACATGTGTTATGTACGCCCGAACGCCGACTATTCTGACAAGTGAAGTTTTATGATGTCAGGTTAGGTTGGAAGAAAGTTAGGGGGGTGGCCAAACCAAAACATGGTCACTGAAAATGAGATTGGGACATGTTAGTAGGTGTAGACTGCCTGGTTGGTATCTGGCGAGACAATAGCAATCGATTGTTAGAGACGACCTTGAATGACGGCTCAAAATCGTTTACAATGACGCAGAGGCATCGCAGCTTTGTGTTCCCTCAAATTCTAATCCTCTAGATTCTTCATCATCTTTCTAAGTTTAGTTCACTAGTTCCATACTCTTTGATTACTGGTTAGCAGCTACTTAATAAACTGATGATTTTTTTTAATGCTATCTAAACTATAAGCAGTACTATCTTTTGTGATACTGTTTTACTAGTGTGTGTTTTCAATTTGAATAGTTTGTTTAATCTGAATTTTATTTTCTTTGTTCATTGAACTTTTGAATATATTGTTTAAAATTAGGTATTAAGAGCTCTTGGTGTTCTTGGTGCACTTGATCCATTCAAATTTAAATTATATTCTGGTCAAGTTGATACATATGGTGATACAGGTATTGCTGTGAGTCATCATGAAGTAGTTGAACGTAAAGATGGTAAGCCAAGTGGATAGTCACATAATGTTTTTTCTATTATCTAATATGTAGGTTAATCTAGGACAAATGTTAGAGGTCAGTCAGTCAGTCAGCCAGCTAACACGTAGAACTTCGTACCTACGTCATCAGTTGTCAGATCCTATTGGCACAAAGCGATGCAATTGTCCGTTCAAATCCTATGTTGGTAGAGGTTGTAACGATACTAGTGACTGGTGAGAAAGATATTATTCAAGAAGTGGAATTCAGTGAAATAAATTTAGAAAGAGAAAGATAAAAGTGATAAGGAATTCAAAAGACTAGAATTTAGGAGAACTCAAAGAAAGGATGCACCTGCGCTATTGCAAACGATTTTGAGCCATGTCATTCAAAGTCCTCTAACTACCGGTTACTATCGTCTTGGGGACCCCAACCAGCTAGTCTACTTATATTTACAAGAGTCAGCTCAGTTATTAATGACTTCATGGATTGATGCCGTGTTGTGGTTAGGCTGCCCCTAACTTTCTTCCAACCTAGCCCTACACTAGTCATCATCGCTCGCCGAAGCAGTTTGTGATTGAGCATTCGTAACACATGTCCCAACCACCTCAACTGACGACCATTCACTATTTCATTACCTAGTAACTTCCTTAAACGATCATTGCTTACTAGGCGGTCCCAGAAAATATGAGCAATGCTTGGAAGACACCGATGATTGAATACTAGTAGCCTGCGAATATCCTCTACTCTTAATTGGCCATATTTTATCCCATGGAGTAAGCCGAAGTGAAGTGATGCGCAGTACACTCGTTCTTTGATTGCTAAACGTACATCTCATCTATGCCATAAGTGACGCAGGTTGGTCAAAGACAATCGAGCCTTTTGTATCCGTGTCGAGATTTCCTTATACACTAGTTTCTGACGCAACGCAAATATGAAGTGACATTTCGCATTTCGAAGGGAGAGAACTGTCTAAGGTGATGGTCAGAAGACTCTACATTTTGTCAGAGCCTTCACTAAATAAAATTATGTCATCGTCAGTCAGTCTCTTAGTAGAAGTTCAACTCCTGAAAAGTCAGACGATGAAAGTCTCGTCTCTAAAAGTATATCAATGACAAAGTTGAATAAGAATAGAGAAAGTGAACAGACTAGAAGTTGGGATATGTAATACAACTTAATTAGTAGAGTTGAATCCGCCTAGTGAAATGTGCAAATATGATGTTGTTAGTATTGCAGGGGTTTATAGAAATTGTAGAGTTTTCATAACTTTGAAGGGCGGCCAGACCAAAACATGGCAGAAATCCATGAATTCACTGACAAGTGGACTGAGTCATGTTGGTGGATGTAGGCTGCTACCTGGTTAGGGTCGGCGACACGAAAGTCACTAATGGTTAGAGACCTTGATCTACATGGCTCAAAATCGTTTGCAATGGCGCAAGTGCATCCATTCGTTGTGCTCTCTCAAATCCTAATCTTCTGGATTCGTCAGCACCTCTACCTTTGTCTTTCTAACCTTATCTTACTGAATTATACTTCTTGAATATAATATCTTCAAACCCTAGTCTTCTTCATTACCATTAATGATACCTCTACTATCTCTATCACTATGAGATTTGATTTGACATTTGCATCTCTGTGCTAACGTGGTATGGCAACCTGGACTTATGTTCGCGCACGTACGAAGTTCTACGTTGCAACTGACTGACTAACTGACATAACTTTGAATCACAAACTTTCATTGTTGTACATAAAAGTTTAACTTCTAGACTAAAATGAACTTGCATCCAGCGGTTTCAACGTCTAACTTCATTTATTTCGTAATATTCCGCAATCATCTTTCATTGACTTTGATCGATAACTGTCTCGTAGCGGACTCAGTGATGTATGTTTCTGAGTCCGACCGAAGCTTCTGAGCAATCCTATACTGCGTCTAAACAAGCTATTCAATGCTTATTGTTTTTAATTCGTGATCTATTAAAGATTATTTAGTGATATAATACTTGAGTCTTACATGAAGCCAGTCATCAACTAACACAACTGAATGATGATAACATCTTTAAGACAATCGATTTGTATGTTAACAGTTGCGATACATTTAATTCCAAAGGTCAGTAGTATGAAATGTTGAATAATCAATAAAAATATTATTAACCGAAACTATGTCCTGTATGTTATTGTTCATGGCTCACAATCGAAAACATGACATAACTAGACACGTAGAGTTGACTAAACAAAATACATTATATTTGAATAAGTTGAGAGTGATATCTGTCATCTCTAAGATTGTTTACGCATTAGAAAAGAGTGACCTAGAAAATGTAAAACAGAAGTTTAAATCGTTCCCACAAGGACCATATGCCCCTTTAGCTATAGGACTCTGGAATCTCTGTTGAGAGGTGGTTGTGACACAAATGTGTTACGAATGCCAAAGCACCGACTGCTTCGAAGAGCTGTGCTTGGTGGTGTAGGAGTAGGTTGGAAAAAATCTAGGGGTGACCAAACTAAAAATACGGTACAAATTCATGAAGTCACTGACAAGTGAACTGAGCCGTATTGGTAGGTGGTAGACTAACTGGTGACCAATGGCTAGAGACCGTAAATTATATGGCTCAAAAATTGTTTGTAATGGCGCAAGTGTATCCATTCTTTGTGTTCTTCTAAATTCTAATCCTCTGTATACCTCATGACCTTCATCTTTCTCTTCTCAAATGTGTTTCGCTGGATTATACTTCTTGAATAACATCTTCAAACCATAATCTTACCGATCGCTGCTCATACTTCTACCACTTCTACCACTATGCAATTTCAATTAACAATTGCATGCATCTCTATGCGATTGTGGTACAACGTTCAGCGTTGTTGCTGACTGACAAGGCGTACCACCGGTTAATTTCTAACAATCAATTTCGTACTCTAAATAATATAAGTTGACTAGATTTGTAACGTGTTGTGAATATATATAAAAAGTTTGACTACTTTTTTTCACAATAAATGGGTCATCTTATGGTCCACGTTGTGGCTAATCGATTGGACAACTACAAATATTCCCGTACGACCGTAAATTCTGTTTCTCCGAATTCCCCAATGTATAACAGAACACAAAACGGTCAAATGAAAATTGTTTAATGGAGTCAGATTACTGTTTCGCCTGCACGTGAACACGTCATTTTGATATGCTTGAACTATTACGAGTTTACCTTAGTCGGAAAACGAGAGCGAGGATAGAGGATCCAGCGACACATACTACTCTAATCCGAGTGTCCCAACCCCCATTGAATAAAAGAAGAATACTTGACATGAGCTAGAATGTGTATTCTACAAACATCCAGAAAGTACGAGGTCCGAGTTCAGAAAAGAATCAGGATCTCGGACTAAGGATCTGGCTCCGGGTCATAAAACGTTTCAAATAATGCGTATTTATACATTTAGGTCGAATGGAAACCAACATTGAAGTCTGTGACATTGATAATTAAGATGACCAATAGGAAGGAACATTTGAAATGACATTGATAGTCAGGACAACCAATAAGAAACAACATTGGAGCACGTGACACATTGATATCTAGGACGACCATAAAACTGACCAGTAGGAATCGATCAATAATTCTCTTAGGATATTGGATGAATATCCTAACAAATACAACCTAGAATTTTACAGACAATGCATATTTTTATACCGTTTAGCATGACCGTCAATATTGATTGACCAATAAGAAACGACATGTGCAAAGTATGAAAACATACAATGATGTTACGTTGAATGATAGAATGAAACTTAACAGAATAATATCTTTTGGAATATTTTTATGAATATATATACATATCGTAACTGAATTGTATTCTTCTGTTGCCTTTTGTTTTTTTTTCCACTTCCTTCCTAGTTGATATTACTCAATCTGAATTGGTCATCAATTTATCATGGGAAAGTCGTGATGTTTTCTTCTCTGTATGTGCATTGTCCGCTTTGATTCATTCATTACGTGATCCTGCATTGCATAGTCAATATGGTAGTATTGTTCAAACTATAGTGTATGTCTTGAAACTATTAGGTCCACGTTCTGTGATTTATCTACGTCAGCTGATACCGGATTATTTTCGATGTTTAGAAAATACACGTGATACTAGAGTAAGTTCGGTGTGTGTGTGTGTATGTGTATATGTATAGATGTGTTTTTAATCGATCATAAATGACGCAAGTAAGGGAAAAATCCAGTGGAGCCTACTGTGTCTGTGCTGAGATTTAGTCAGTCACCAGGCCAGCATTGCTTGTGAAACTCATGAGATAAATCTCAACTGCTTCACTCCGTGTTGGTAGTTCGAGTGCCGATACAAGCTAATCTTAAAGCAACATTTTGCATTTCAACGGCGATAATCGCATCCCGAACATGCTTGTGTTGTTGCTTAGAGTAGTCAAAAGACTCTGCATTATGTTAGCGTCTTCACGTAGTAGTACTATGTCATCGGCATATTCTAAGTCGATAAACGAGCCTCCTGGTAATAGGTCTACTCCTAAAAATTCAGACGAGGATAAGGTTATTTCTAAGAGCATGTCTATAAAATAAAAATGTATCGCATTACATTGTAAAGTTGCCACGTACATCTTCATAAAATGTATAGTGAGGATCGAAATAGACGATTGTACTAACTTAAAAGTTAACGTAATTAATCGTGAGGTTCTGTGTACCAAATGTGTACCAACGGAGTACATTAACCTCATACAAGCTCTCTACTTGAACACCACTGGTCGAGTGAGAGCGTATGGCGAACTGTCACCGGAATTCTTCACTTCAAATGGTGTCCGTCAGGGATGTCCACTCTCTCCATTCTTGTTTAATTTTATCAAAGTTCATCCATGCCAGGGGTGACAACAAATGATGGCGCAATATCTCAAACTACGCGATCCACAATTCAGTCAGTAGTATTAGTAGTCTAAAAACAACAACTCAAAGATCTCCAAGTCAATCCTTAAATGAATAATTTGCCCACACATTGTTGAATTTTTAGACAGTGGGACGCTAAACGTGTTCAATACTCTCTCTCTCTAACTCCTTGGTTGTTGTCTAAATTTGTCTTCAAAATGTATAATCACATCCTGTTGTGAAAATGAAAACAAAGAGACATTAACAACCAATAGAAGCTTGTTTTTGGAGACATTATCGTGCTGAAGAATACTAATCTTATTCTGTAAATCTTAGACTATTGGTTGATGTACGATGATTCACTGTCGTAACCCTGTTTTATTGCAAAATTACTGTGACTTAATTGTAATCCCCAGTTTTCTATCGGCATAGTCGAATCCTTTTTTTATCAATCCTTGTGCTCCGAGGTCTATATTCATTCATATATCTTTTTTCTTCACTTGTATCAAGAATAAATCGACTAGTCTTTCAGTATATTAGTCTTCTCTCTCTTTCTCTCTCTTCTCACTTGCTTGCTAGTCTATCCGGTGATAGAATGAATAGTTTCTTCTTTTTCCTTGAGTCCATTTTGTCAGAACTGTAATCACGTGTTACTAGTCTCAAGATTGACTATCACAACTAGGCTATCATTTCAAAGTCTTAAAAACTAACTTTCGTTCTTTGCATGCCTGTCTCCGATTCTCAGCGTAATGTGTTCTTTGGTTTTCCTCTAATACCCTTTTTGCCCTAAGGATTCCTTGTTAAAGCAGTTAGGTGCTTCCCTAAATATGTGTCCTAATCACCTCCAGCACTTCTTTCTAATTTCTTGCTCAGCTGCACTGTGGTTTGTTCCGTCCCGCAGTAGGTTATTGTTATTGCTGTCTGGCCAACAGATCCTCAATATCTTGCGTAGACAACTGTCCTGTGGATGACAGCTGTCGTGATTCTTTTAGTTTCTGCTCCATACAGTACAACTATCTTGACATTTGGATTGAAAATTGTGACCTTGGTATTGCATTACGGTGCTCCCTAGTGACTAGCTTCGTGAGGAATCTTCTCCAAGTTCTAGTGGGAAGACGTGACCAGTGAAGTTCAACCTGTTCGGGTGTGGACAGTAACTACCGAAGACTGTGTATGAGGTTGCGCAACTCCGTGAATTTGATCAAGTTAGACATTAACACCGTCAGAAACCGTCTCAGTGGTCTAACGGTTAGGGCGTTCGAAGGTCCTGGGTTCAAATCCTGCGGGGTGCAGGAGTCGTGGATGCGCACTGCTTAAGAGTCCCATGCCAGGACGAAACGGCCGTCCAGTGCTTCCAGATTTCTAATGGTGTAGTCTAACATTGATCGACTCACGGTTTCAAAAATTGTTTAACTTTGGTATTGGTTGATAGTTGTTTTTTAAGTTCCAAATGTTCTTCAGTTGTCGACATACTTCGCTTGCCTTGTCAATCCACGCCCTCACCTTGGCATTATACCCACCTTGTTTATGAACAGTGGGTCCGAAAACTAAGCGTTCGCGAACAAGACCGAAAGTCCTGAAATCTATATCTGCTAGTCGTAAGAGTCGTGGATGCCAACTACTAAATCAATCCCATACCAGAACGAAACGGCTGTGCAGCGCTTACCTGTTTTTAATGGTTATTGTCTAACAATGACTGATTCATGTTTCGCAACAATAAACAACAATCTCTAGAACTTTATCCTTTTAAGTTATCAGCTAACTAGTTCTCAACTCTCTACCCTTGAGAAGACTGAGGCAATCGCTGAAGATTGTATTATGCTAATTTACACTCTTAGTCAATTAAAAACGAAAACATTACATTGAACACTCTATTTGCACACCATCTTTGAGTCTTGATTTCCAACGCTCCATCATTCTTCTTCCATTCCTGTTGTTGCTTCCTTTACTTCCTGTTGGTACTACTCTATTTACTTCTTGCTTTTGCTCCATTTACTTTCCGTTTTCCTCTTGTGACCGTGAGACTTCTTCTTTCACGTCCATTCTTATACTACTTATATCGTTCGTATAAGTAGCACACACCACACCCTCATACATTTTTTAATTTTTCTATTCATTCAAGTTACAAGAATTTCTTATACGTCAATTGGGTAATGTTATGACTATTGTACAATTGAATACAAAAGAATTTGCTCATGAAGTCATAGATTTATTAATTACACATTGGTGGATTGCTCCAAATGTTCAACGTGCATGTATTGGTCTACTGAGTCCAATGTCTAATGTTTTGGGTGCGGAATTTCGTACTTATTTAACACGTCTTATACCAACTATATTGCGTATGTTTCATCATGAATCAAATGAAGCGAATTTAATTGCTGTAAGTATTATTTTTTTTTATATTCTCCATGGATTATTTGTGATTAAACCTTGATGTACCGCCATTAGTCTAATGTGTATGGATTCCCCTCACTAGGCGGAGGGGCTAGACCAAAACTGTGTCATGTCGGTAGATGTAGGCTATCTGGTTGAGGCTTGCGAGATGATAGTAATTGATAGTTAGAGACCCTGAATAATGACATGGCTCAGGTGCATTCATTCTTTGTGTTCTCTCATATCCTAACCTTCTGAATTCCTCATCACTTTATCTTCTTTTTGAGTTCATTTCACTGGAATATACCTCTTGAATAATATCTTCAAACCCTAATCTTTCCGATTATTGCTAATACCTTTACTACTTCTACTTCTTTGAGATTTGAATTGACAATTGCATCTCTCTGTGCTAATGTGGTATAACAACTTGAACTGATATACGTACGTACGAAGTTCTTACGTTGCTATTGATTGATTGATTAATTGTATGTACCCCTTTGGGACATGTGCTGCGTATGCCCAATCACCGACTGCCTCAACGAGCTTTGTTTTGTAGTGTAGGAGTAGGTTGGAAGAAAGTTAGGGGCGGCCAAATCAAAACATGGCAGAAATCCATGAAGTCATTGACGAGTGGACTTAGCCATGTCGGTAGTTATCAACTACATGGTTAAGGTCCGCGAGATGATAATAATCGATAGTTAGATACCCTGGATGACATGGCTCAAAATCGGTTGCAATGGCGCCGGTGCATTCAATTCTTTGTGTTCTCTCAAATCCTAATCTTCTGGATTCTTCAACACCTCTAGTTAGTTTTGACTTTCTACACTTTTCTCACTGAATCATACTTATTGAATAATATCTTCTAATCCTACCCTCTCCGATTACTTCTAATACCTTTACTACCTCTTCTACTATTGGATTTGAATTGACAATTACATCTCTGTGCTGATGTGGTATGGCGACATGAACTGATGTACTTACGTACAAAGTTCTACGTTGCATCTGACTGACCGACTGTCTTTATGGACCCATCTAACTTGTTTCAATGTTACATCAATCGAAGCTCATAAGTTCCAAGGGTTTGTGCATCATTCTAATTAGTTTTTTCGGTTATTAGATTTTATTATTATTGATTATTGAATTATTTCAGGTTTAGTCAGCGTAAGATTGCTCAATGCCGAAATGCATTTTAGCCCTATGTAATTAGTTGAATCAATGTTGGTATTGTAGAATTTTAATGGAAAACCAGATTGATTCACTGAATAAATTTTCTTTAACATGTTGTAGGTTTGAGTAGTATGTACGAGTTGCCAGGAGTCGTGGATTGTGCGCTACCACTGATAAGTAGTCCCATACTAGAGGACGAAACGGCTATCTTTCAGTCTCATTCCAGGTTTCTGATGCTGTATAGTTTAACAATCATTGATTGATGATTTCATTGTGTAAAAGCACTGATCCGCATAACCGGAATTGAAAATATCGTACACTGTGCCCACTAGTGACTAACTTCGTGAGGAAAATCTCAGAGTTCTAGTCAGAAGACCAGTGTAGTTCAATCCTGTCGGGTGTGTAGGCAGTAACTACCGAAGACAGTGGTGGGTGAGGTTGCGCAAGAATCCCTAGATTGATAAGAATTAGACATTAAACTCGTTGGATGCCGATTAGCTCACTAGTCCGGAAGGTAGGCGTTCACGCACAAGACCGATGGCCCTAGTTGCGAATCCTGCGAGTAGTAGCAGGAGTCGTGGATTGCGCGCTGCCACTGCTGAGTAGTCCCATACCAGATGATGAAACGGCCGTCTTTCAGTACCATTCCAGGTTTCTCATGGTGTATAGTCTAACAATGATTGATTGATAGTTTCAGTGTGTAAAAATACTGATTAATGTCTTTGTAAATTAATTATGAATCACAACGCAATGTTTTCCATCCTGAAATAGTGCCGTAGAACTTTACAGTTAAAATATGTGTATACTTGTGGATTTTTGAACATCAATACTTTCTTGAATAAATTGCAAGTGAGTGTGTGTAGATGTTTCCATAGGTTATTTCATACATTTTCGATAGCTGGATGCTAAACATTTCAGGCTAGCCTGATCACACCTTTTAATTTCCTAGCCTGATGAGGATGTTAGATCCCCAAAACTCACTTGATAAAGGTTCTAATTTTTGATTTCATGTTTTCAAGCATAGGCTAATTAGTTGACCTTGAGATTACGTTTCCCACCGGGAAAATCCTTGACTGTCATTGGTTGATATGTTATATTAGTATGCTATTTTTGTGGCTCTCCCAAGGATGTTTCTATCACATATAAATAAACTCGATTTGTGTGCTTGTTGACCTCATATTTTCTGAGTGCTTGTAGAATGCAATTTCTACGCCATATCGAGACTTCTTCCTCTAGTTAGTAGGGCCTTGGGACGCTCGGATTAGAGTAGCCTATCGTGTCAGTCGATCATTTGTCTTCACTCTCGGTTACCGACTAAGTTGAACTCGTAATAGTTATAAGCCGTACATGAAAATTTTTTACCTTTTTATTTCATGCAAACAACCTACTTGATATGTTAAAACTACTTAAAAACCTATGTTGAAGATACCTACTACTGACTACTACTACTAAATCCAACCAAACAGATTTTACATGATCAATAAGTGTTCCTAAAGTGATTTACAGGTTTTTCTGATCGTTAACTGTTGAAAAAAAGAACAACTTACATATTCACCTATATGCGATTTACAAGAGCTGTCGCCTCGAACCCACTTCAAAATAATGAATTGAGTGTTAGGCGTCCTCACATTATTTCTACAATTAAAAGTTAAGATTTTTTCCATTCTTTGTTTTCTCTCAAATTCTAGTCTTAATTCCTCCTTACCCACATATTTCTCGTTTTAAGTTTATTTTATTAGATTATACTGCTTGAATAACATCTTCAAACCCTAATGTTCTCGATTACGGGATTTGAATTGATAATTGCATCTCTGTGTGCTAATGTGGCATGAGAAAGTGAACTGACGTTGTAGCTAACTGACTGACCGACTTCTCATAACATCATGACATGATTGTTGGGCATCATCACTGGATCATATCTTCAAACTGTAATCTTCTCCATTACCTCTAATACTTCTACTCTACCACTACTACTATGGGATTCAGATTGACAATCCCATCTCTGTCTCCCTCTGTGCTAATGTGATATGGCAATTCGAACCATTGTACATACGTACGAAGTTCGGTATTATGGCTGATTGACTGAAGGTTAAGATTATAAATTTAGAATCATGGTTTAGAGACAGAAATGGGCTTTGTGATATTGATATGCTTGCAGTTATTACGAGTTAACCTGACTCGCTAAACGGAACGAAGATCAAAGATCCAGTGCTCTGATAGGCTATTCTAATCCAATTGTCCCAGGCCCCACTAACGAAAGCAAGAAGTCTTGATAAGACGTAGCGAGAATGTATTCTCAGGCACTTGGTAAAGTATGAAGTCCACAAGCACACAACTCAAGCTTATTTATACAATTGATAAAACGCCCTTGGTGAGAGCCACAAAATTGCGTACTAATATAATCCATCCACCAATGCCATTCAAGGATTTTCCGAGTGGGAAATGTGAGCTGAAGGTCAACTAAGCGTCCTTGGGCGCAAAAATATAAAACTTCAAAATTAGGACTTTTTCCAAGTGAGTTCTGGAGATCTAACATCCCCAACGCATATATACATATATACATTTATATCTGTAATCTGGATGGAAATTAACTACATATTTGATATGTACATAATACTATTATTTTTCATTCTAAAATATTCCAGGCATTCTGCAAAGGTAATTCATGTGTGTGTTTGTTTTATCATGTCATTGTTGAGTTTTCTCTCTCGATTCTATGATTCAATATTCAATACTATGATTACAATTGCAAACTCTGTCCATTACTTCGATTATCGATCTGTATAGTTATATACATATATTTTATAGGATATGCGTTTTGTGTAACTTTTCTTTTTTTTACTGATTAATTTATCATCATGATGACCTTGAAAACCGAAGAAAATTTAATTAATTCATCAATGTTTTTTTGTTTAAATGTGTTCAGTTGTTCAATTTTCAATAATTTCAATTTTTTTTAATTGTGTGTATACATGTATATATAGTTATTTTTATTTGTTGTTTCTTTTTTCGGGTCGGGGTGCAATGCGATACGATGCGGTGTGGTTTGGGCCAATCAGCTTTTAGAAGTTCTACCAGAATTCGGTTATACATTGAAAGATTATGCTCATATTATTGTACCAGCCATATCAAGTTTAATTGATATAACCAATGAAGCCAATCTTTCTATTCTATTAACTAGTGTTTCAGAGAATTCTTCAATAGATAATAATAATTGTTCAACTACTACTAATAATACTACTAATACTAGTAGTAGTAGCACTGCTAATACTACTACTACTACTAGTCATTCACAGTCAACTCTACCGCATTCCACTTCGGATTTCAATACAGATACATTTGATTTGTCAAATATTTTCTCAGATACTACTACTACTACTAATAATAATAATAGTAGTACATCAGTAAATGATCTAACACTTGTTGGCATTGCCTCATCATCAACAACAACACATCAACCACAACTAATGCATATGAATAAAGTTGGCAGTGTTCGTCTACGTAAAGCCTGCCTAGAATGTTTAGCACGTTTCACTGATTGTGTTGATCTAGATGATTTCGCTGGACAAATTATCCATCCCATTTGTCGTTTATTATTAACATTAGAATCATGTCATCAAAGTTATCAACAAGTGTTACATCATCATCATCAACAACATCTTTTACCTTCGTCAGCATCATCATCAGCGTCCGCGTCATCACCATTGACAAAATCCACTGCTCTGCTAGGCAGTCAAATATGTTTAAATGCAATCAATCAATTGCGTGTACCAGCAATGGATGTATTAACTGGTTTATTATATCGAATGGGTCAAAAATTTAAATTTTTTTTACCATTAGTACAAAAAATGTTAAGCCGTTTACATTTGCATACACCACGATTTAATACGGTACTTGGACAGGTAGGTGATTATTGTTTCTGTTTGTATAAAGTTTGTTATTAATATTATTATTATTATTGGTTGGACCCATGTGTTACGTATGCGCCCAACCACTGACTGCTTCGGTGAGTGATGATGTGTGGTGTAGGAGTAGGTTGAAGGAAAGCTAGGGGTGGCCAAATCTAAACATGGCACAAATCCATGTGAAGTGTCACTGACAACTGGATTGAGCCATGTTGGTAAGTGTAGACTATCTGTTTGAGGTCCCCGTGACAATAGTAAGCGATGTGACAGACAGACAGATAAAACGAAGAACTTCGTACGTAAGTACATCAGTTCAGGTTGCCATGCCCCATCAGCACAGAGATGCAACTGTCAGTTCAAATACAAGAGTGATAGCAATGATAGAAGTATTAACAGTAATGGAGAAGATATGATTCGAGAAGTATAATTCAGTGAGATAAACTTTGAAGGAGAAAGACAGAGATAATGAGGAATTCAGAAGCTTAGAATTGCATAGAACACAAAGAGTGGATGCACCTGCACCATTGCAAACGGTTCTGAGCCATGTCGTTCAAAGTCTCTAACCATCGGTGACTTTCGTCTCGTGGACCCCAACCAGGTAGCCTACATTTACCAACATGACTCAGTCCACTTGTCAGTGATACTTCATGAATTTCTGCCATGTTTAGGTCTGGCCACCCCCCTGGCTTTCCTCCAACCTACTCCTACACCACAAAACATGGTCGATGCTTAGGCATACGTAACATATGTCCCAACCACTTCAACTGATGAAGTTTCACCACTTCATCTATTGATCTGCCCTCGTTACCTAGTAGTCGTTTCCTAACAACAGCATTGCTTATACATACGGTTGTCCCATGATACACGAGCAATGCTTCGGAGACATCGATGATCGAAGACTAGTAACCTACGGAAGTCCTCTACTCTTAACGGCCAAAGTCTCGCATCCGTACAGTAGGACGGAGCGAACTACTGCGCAGTACACTCTTCCTTTAGTCAACAAACGGATATCTCGCCTACGCCATAAGTGACGCAGGTTGGCAAAAGTCAATCGAGTCTTCTGTATCCGTGCTGAGATTTCGTCAGTCACCAGGCCGTCGGCACTGATGAGACTCCACAGATAAGTGAAGCGGTCTACACGTTCGACTTTGAATAACACGACTCATACTCGTTTGTAATAGTGTAGGTGTACCCATGCTTTGTGCTATTTCAAATCAGAATCACCTTTATCTTTCTCTTTTAAAGTTTTTTTCAATGAATTATACTTCTTGAATAATATCCGTCAAACCTTAATCTCTCCCAATTCTGCTACTGCTTTTACTACCTCTGCTACTATGGGATTCGAATTGACAATTTTGTCTGTCTGTGCTGATACTATGGTATGGCAACCTGAACTGATGTGTTTAGTCTACGTTCGAAGTTCTACGTTGTTACGAACTAACTGATTATTATTATTATTATTATTATTATTATTATTATTATGCTTTATCCGTGCTAGTTGGTTCATGTGTACTTCAAAAAAGGATAGAGCCAATTAAGTAAAGTTTCTGTGAAAGTGACTAGCTTCATGTGGAAATTCTCGGAGCTTTTAATGAAAAACCATGACCAGCGGTGTTCAACCCTGTTGGATATAGACAGTTACCACCTACCAAAGACAATGAGGAAGTTGCACGAAACCTTAAGATTGATCAAAGTCAGGTATTAACGCTGTCGGATGCCAACTCAGTGATCTAGAGGTTAAGCGGTCGGGGGCGAGACCGTAGGTCCTAGAACTTAAA